ATCCTGAGGAAATGATTGTAAGCAAACGAGTTTTTCCATTGTCCGACGCTAAGCAATTGATCCCCGGTGGTCTCGGGGCGACATTCCGTCTGGCTACTTGGGTTACGGTATCCCGTTTTCTCGGTCGGGTCAAAGCCATAGGTGTGCTGGGTGCAAGAGGGGAGGACAGGATAGGATAGGAGGAGGAGGGCTGCTGCTGCTGCTGGGATGTGCGTCATTCTCTTTGAGGGCCGTCTTCTCCGCCCAGCCACACGAACTCGAGCTGGGACGAGAGAGAGGCAGAGAGAGAGCGAGAGAGAGAGAGTGACAGAGAGGGAGGACCCGAATTTTTTTTGCGAGCTGTGAGAAGCGAAATCCCGCCCCTTTTGGACCCGCGTTCCACCCATCCGGGCCGCCGGCTCAGATTTTGGCCCCTGCCCCTTCCCCGTCGACCGGTTCACCGGTCATTTCCGGTCCGGAAATTTCTTGGAAGGTTTTTGACCGGAGGGGTCAAATCTACCGTATTTTCCGGAATTTCCGGAGCTATAATTCGTTAATGTAGCTTCCAAACGGAACGAAAACTGTCTGATTCTTTAAATTGTCATCTTGTTCTCTCTCACTCTCTCTCTCTCTCTCTCTCTCTCTCTCTCTCTCTCGCTCTCCCTCTCTCTCTCTCTCTTACTCTCTCTCTCTCGTATCTTTCTTTACTTTCTCTCTTTCTTCTCTTTCTCTCTCTCGCTATCTCTCTCTCCCTTCCGGAAGGTCTGGGAAAAAATTATTTAGGCAAATAACTTCGATGTCATTTTGGACTCATGAATTTTGCCTTGCTGGGCCCTTTAAAGTCACTACGCCTCCCCAATTGCCCAATTTCGGCGATTCCCAAGGAACGCTGCTAGTTTGCCTTCAAGCTCTCTTACGTCGTTTTTATGGGATCTTGAAGCCAACTGATCTATGGATTATCCGGGTTCCAAGCACCTTTAGACCAAAATCTCCGGCAAATGGTCTCTGCTAGCTTGCCCTACATAATTTCGTACTGGAAGAAATTGAGTTGTTTGCTTCAATGTACCTTTAAACGGCCTGGGAAGTGAAAAATCTTGTGGAAACCTGGCTTCTCAGTGTCTTTAGCATAAAAAAATAGGGGGAATGATCTCTGCTAGCTTGCCCTACAACTGAAAGAAATTCAGTTTTTGCTTCAATTTACCTTTAGACGGCCTGGGTAGTCAAAAATCTTGTGAAAACCTGGCTTCCACAAGCTTTTAGGATAAAAAATGAGGCCAATGATCTCTGCTAGCTTGCTCTGCACCTACTCGAATTTCAAAAAATTGTTTCTTACCGAAGTTTATTCACTTCCAAGGCCCTTTAAAGGGACGTGGAAGCCATAGTTGCTCGAGTCATCCGAAGCACTCTGAGCCTTTTTATGTTTTGTCGTGTTTTATAATGAGCTTAGCGTAACTTTTAGGGTTTGCAGAAACTCATTTTACCAACTTTGAGCGGTCAAAAAACTCCCGGTGGATACCTGAACTTTTGACAAGGCCTTCAAACCCCCGAGAGGAACTGTGAAAAAACGGGGGTCATAAATGGCCATAGCCCTCCAATCGTCGAATCAAGATAACAACACCCCGCTCGGTTTTCTCTTACGTAGGTGGGCGAATGCGATATATTTTCGGATGCGCCCTCCGCTGCTCCTTGATTTTTGCGAGGCACGCGACTTTGGAATTTTGAAGGATCAGAATTTTTAATGAAGAAGCTTTTTTGGACTTCTTTTTAATGGCTAAGGCTCAGAAAACGCCACAAAATCGTCGTTCCCGGCCTGGCGTAATTTAAAAATAATATATCCTTTATTTTTTAGAGCAAAAAATTGCGGATAGGCTAAAGCCTTGAAAAAACCGAAATAGAGAACGGTACTTTAGAAAAAACAAAGACAATTTAATCGCGTAACTGTTGGATTTTCAGCCTGATTCACAGCCGGTTATTTGATGTCGTAATAGAATCCTCGAATTTTCCGCCACTCATTTTTGTACAAGGCTTTCAAAAAAAAACCCGAAATGAGTACGGTATTCAGCAAAAATGGGATTTAATGGCGTAACTGGTCGGAGATTTTGAGATTACGCTACTTCACGCTATTCCAGCAATTCAATTAATGCCGTAATTAGTTGGATTTCAGCTTTTAACAATTTTTTTTGATTGGGTTATGCACAAAAATGCTTCTCGCTCAATTCCCAGCATTTCCGCTACCTGTCACGCCCCCTTTAAACGCTAAAAGTTGCATCTACAACCTTACTAATTACTTAAAACCAACTTTTAATATAATGATAGCTGAAAACGACGGTTCTTAAGAAGAAAATCAATCAAAAATAACATTTAATAGTACTTAAAATTCCGCAAAGTCTTGCGGCTTTGGTTTTTGGAAATTGGATCTGGCTAGGCTATTTGTTCCCCTCGCTAAAAAGTGCATAAACACATGCGTACACCCTGTTGTTTGCCCCGCCCCAATTTTCGTGATCAGATGCTGATCCTCCGCCTCTCACATCGCGTGCTCCACCTCCTCCTCACACACCTGTTGGCCCGTTCTATCTCTCTATCTCTCTCTCTCTCGCTCTCGCTCTCTCTCTCTCTCGCTCTCTCTATCTATCTCTCTCCCTCTCTCCCTCCTCTCTCTCATTGGCTTGATGTTTTGTTTTCCGCCCTCAAATTCCTCGGCTACGCCACACGCCAAATGACGCAGAGGCGTAATTAGCATAATTCGTTGTTTGTTTTGTTTTATCAGGTTTTGGGATTCGAATTCGACGAATTTTGATAGATTATTGTTTTTTTTTTATAAAATACCGTAATTTATATTTTCCAACTTTTGAAACTTCACTTAACTTTTTCTATAAAAAATTAGGCTAAACAAGGTCTTTTTAAGGTTCAAAAACTCAACAATTTTTTCAGTATTTTGGTTTTTTCAAGCTTCAATGGCCCTTTAAAACTCAATTTCTGATCTATTCTAATTTATTCCAGTTTTTCCATGTCCTCAATCTCGCAATTTCCCCTCAAAAATGACAAATGTGTTTCGTCAGAAGCCACCGCCTCGCCCACGTCGCCGCCACAAAACGTCGCGACGCTAGAGCTTATGCAAATTGTGCGAGTGTTTTGAGGAGCAGCCGCCGGGAATCGCTCTCTATCTCTCGCCGTCTCTCACTCTCTCTCCACGGGTCTCGGACATTCCGTTCCATTCCGCTAGACGACTATTGACACCCCATTTACGGCGTCGGATTTTCGGACGCTGTTTCTGAGAATTTCGAGCTACAATGTGTCTCCCGCGGCTCATCTATGATGATGTGAGTTTTGAGAAAATATCGTAATCGGCTAGTAAGGCCAAGCATCTCTGCTAGTTTGTGCTAGCGAGGCACGCTAGCAGAGATAATTTGCAAAAAATCCTGCCCAATTCGGTCCTAAAGAACCTCTGTTAGCTTGCCCTGCAAACGGTAGGCTAGCCGCGACGCTTTGCGGAAAAAAATCGATCTGTGTTCTGCTCTCAAGGATCTCTGCTGGTTTGCTTCTAGTAAATGGGCAGGCTAGCAGTGATCATTTGCGGAAAATACAGCCGATTTCGGTCCTCGTGAAAATCTGCTAGCCTGCACTAGCGAAGTGGCAACTTAGCAGTGATTATTTGCGAAAAGCAACGTAATTCTGTCCCTAAAGAATCTCTGCTAGCTTGCCCGTTTGAAATGGCAAGCTAACAGGGATAATTTGCGGAAAAACAGGCCATTTGTGTCCTCAATAATCTTTGCTAGCCTGCCTCCAGTAAATTTGCAGGCTAGCAGCGATCATGTGCAGAAAATACAGCCGATTTCCGTCCCAAAGAATCTCTGCTAGCCTGCCCCTCCCGAAGGGCAGGCTAGCAGTGACGCTTTGCGGAACAGGCCGCCCGATCTATTCTCATCCGAAAGCTATTTTTACCGTCCATTTACGCAGGCATTCCGGAAATTTCTTTCCCTCTCTCTCGCTCTCGCACTCTCTCCCTCTCGCCTCCAAGTAGACCCATCAATATCCCTCCCTCCCAACCGTCATTTCAGACTTTTCCCCTACCTAGGGCGGGGTGAGTGTCAGTTGTTCATTCGCGTCCTCATTCTCCTCCCCCCTTTGACCCGGCTTCTCCTCTCTAACAGACCCACCGGAATAGCCACCGGAAATGGGGGCCGGTGGCATTTTTTGGGCCCACCTCTCACCGGGTCGACCCATCACCACCCTCTCACTCTGAGCCCCGGAAAGGCCGGCAAAACCCGGGCTAGCAAGAAGACCGGAAATAACCGGACCGGACCGGAAATATTCCGGATAAAATGGATGGCTGGCTTGGATTATAGAAACTGCTCAAGAAAACCACTTGAAATTTAAGCTTAACCTGAAGGTCCTATCACTTAATTCGGTCAAGAAAACCGGAAATGATTTTTGACGAAAATAGGTGTTTGCGGAATGTCAAAGTGTGCCAAAATTGCTCCGAATTCTCGTCAATAAGCAAACTGGAAATAACGTATCAGACCGGCGCCAGGAAAAGGAGTTTTTTAGCCGCTTAAAGCGCCTTGAAAGCTCGAGTATCTACCTTCTACGTTGACTAGGTCTTGACAGCTACGCGATGCTCCAAATGTCGCAATTCATTCTTATTTTTGTGACGCTAGGGTCTTCGGCGCGTTCGTTTGGCTTAAAACCGATTGACAAGCGTATTTTGTAGCGTGGCGTAGTTATCGAGAACTAGTGGACAGAACAGGTCAATTCTCCCCGCTTCCCGGTTCCTTTAAACCAAAAAAAAGCGGCTTGATTCGTTGCTATGTTCGAGTCTTAAATAGTGCGACCTTGAGCAGTAACATAAAGCTCAAAAACGCGTTTGAGCACGAAAAGAAATTGAAAAAACGGAAGGAGGACGGCCCAGAAAAAAATTTCAACAACTTAGATAAATTTCGATTTTAAACAAGACAAGCGATGGGTAAAAATCAGAAATAACGTATTGTTTTCGAAAATCCCAAATAATCCTTACTTTCCAGGTTCCCCCAAACTCCTCTACCCTCCTCCGTGAGCACCGCGCCGCGGCCACCATCCAGCATGCCTACCGAGGGCACCGTAAGCGCCAAGCGGCCGCCCGGAAGATCCAGAATTTCATGAGGCAGAGCCGGATCAAGTATGTTTAATTTTATTACCTAGTTCCTAACAAAAAATAGCTAATTTTACATATTTTCCAGTCAGAACCATTCGAAAATCGGAAAAATACCTTTAAAAAAATATTCTAGCTTAAAAAACACGTTAAAAATTCCGAAAAAATAGGAGAAATCATTAGGACTATGCTTTCATTAATGCGCCTCCTTTAGAGGTTATAAGCCACAAATAATAAAAATTCAAATCAGATATATTATCGGTGTCCGATATTGTTTAATCGATTTCTATGGGTTTAAAAGGAAAAAAGATTTGAAGCTGTGTTAGCTGCCCTTAATGCACAACTTTCAAAATTTAAAAGTCTGAAAAATCCCCATTAAATCCCTGTTTAATCCAGTTACCACCACTGCAGCCAGGCAGCCGACGAGCCAGAGATGGTAATTAGCAAAATATATATCGTATTGTGGCTTACTGTATTGAGTATCGTATCGTAGTGAAATCTATATCGTATCGTGCATACCGTAATCTTGACCGTAACCAGGATTATCGCGAATTTTTCAGACTTCGCAAAATGCACGAGCAAAGCGGCGTCGCGTGTACGATGGAGCCGGTGGGAACGGAGGGTGGGTTTCTCTCTCTCTCTCTCTCTCGTTCTCTCTCGCTCTCTCTCTCTCTTCTCTCTTTCTCTCTCTCTCTCTTTCTCTCTCTCTCTCTCTCTCTCTCTCTCTCTCTCTCTCTCTCTCTCTCTCTCTGTCGCTCTCTCTCTCTCTCTTTCTGTCTTTTTCACTCGCTCTCTCACTTTGTCTCTCTCGATCACTCTCCCTCATTATCTTTCTCTCTCAATCTCTCTCTCTCTCTCTCTCTCCCTCTCTCTCTCTCTCTCTCTCTCTCTCCCTTTCTTTCCCTTTTTGTCTTTTTCACTCGCTCTCTGACTTTGTCTCTCTCGATCACTCTCCCTCATTATCTTTCTCTCTCTCTCTCTCTCTCTCTCTCTCTCTCTCTCTCTCTCTCTAAAAATTTTGTTCAGCCCTTTTTATGATGTTTTAGAAATTTCTTAACCATTGAAATTCGTTTCAGATGGAGCGTTGTGCCTGCCGGGCAACCGTCCGTCGGTGCATCTGCCCACCGGGGTGGTATCTCATCATCAGATATCATCGAACAACAGCCACAACCACCACAACAATCATCATCACAACCCACACAACAACCACCACAGCCAACAGCAACAGTCAATTATGCTGAATACTACACAACACCAAATAGGTGAGTGACAGAGAGGGAGAGAGTGAGAGGCAGACAGCAGAGATTCTTAGCGGAAAACTGCTAGAAATTGCTTTAAATAAACGATTTCTTTCAGCGACCTTCTCCACTACGACCCCGGCGTCCACGGGGCTCCAAATGACGCCCAACTGCAATATGGTGGCCAACAACAGCAGCAACAGCAACACTACATCCCACAACAACAACACCCCCTCCACCACCACGGCGGCTATTCAACCGCCCACCCAACTGCAGCAACAAGTACAGCAGCAACAGCTGGCCCATCAAGGACCACTGCCCCCGATTCACACTATACAACCATCGACCAATGCCAGCAGCATGCGCCATGGGTACGATTTTGACTAATTACGACGAGTAAAGGGGCATGCTAGCAGAGATTATTTGGGAATGGAAGGGGCAGGCTAGCAGAGATCATTTGGGAATGGAAGGGGTAGGCTAGCAGAGATCATTTGGGAATGGAAGGGGTAGGCTAGCAGAGATCATTTGGGAATGGACGGGGCTGGCTAGCAGAGATCATTTGGGAATGGAAGGGGCAGGCTAGCAGAGATCATTTGGGAATGGAAGGGGCAGGCTAGCAGAGATCATTTGGGAATGGAAGGGGCAGGCTAGCAGAGATCATTTGGGAATGGAAGGGGTAGGCTAGCAGAGATCATTTGGGAATGGACGGGCAGGCTAGCAGAGATCATTTGGGAATGGACGGGGCAGGCTAGCAGAGATCATTTGGGAATGGAAGGGGCAGGCTAGCAGAGATCATTTGGGAATGGAAGGGCAGGCTAGCAGAGATCATTTGGGAATGGAAGGGGTAGGCTAGCAGAGATCATTTGGGAATGGAAGGGGTAGGCTAGCAGAGATCATTTGGGAATGGAAGGGGTAGGCTAGCAGAAATCATTTGGGAATGGACGGGGCTGGCTAGCAGAGATCATCTGGGAATGGAAGGGGCAGGCTAGCAGAGATCATTTGGGAATGGAAGGGGCAGGCTAGCAGAGATCATTTGGGAATGGAAGGGGCAGGCTAGCAGAGATCATTTGGGAATGGAAGGGTCAGGCTAGCAGAGATCATTTGGGAATGGACAGGGCAGGCTAGCAGAGATCATTTGGGAATGGACGGGGCAGGCTAGCAGAGATCATTTGGGAATGGAAGGGGCAGGCTAGCAGAGATCATTTGGGAATGGAAGGGACAGGCTAGCAGAGATCATTTGGGAATGGAAGGGGCATGCTAGCAAAGTTTCTTTGGGGAAACGGAACGATTCTGAGAGACTAAATGCAGAATATATAATAAAACGCGCAATACCCCCCATTTTCAGATGCTGAACGAGCCGCGTTAGGCCGTAGTGTTCATCTACCGCCCGGTCGGCTTCCCCAAAACGGGTCCACCCACCGAAAATGGGCCAAAATCCGCACCACGCCACCACACACCCAAAATCTCCTCCTCCCTCACCAATGAGCTATAACTCATATCGTTTTCTATCATTTGAATTTTATCTTCTATTAAACGGCATTTTTCAAACTTCTACTTTAAGCTTCAGTTATCTAAAATTTCGCCCAGTTACAGTAGTATAAACACCAAAAAAACTAAATCAAACCTAAGAAATTCACCCCAAAATTACGAGTCAATATATATAATGAAGGCACCCCTACTGTATCATGTACTGTTAATAAATTCGTGTTTTTAATAAATATATACCATTAAATACCGTATATAGAGAGCGCAAAAAAGAAAGAAATACATAAAAACCACCGCCCGAATTAAATCCAGATTAAAAATTAAATTTAACCAGGGTTGAAAAGCCGCTTCGCGACTTTTCAACCCTGGTCCCGTCTGATCCCATGATATTCTGCGCTTTGCATAATTCTCACGATTTTCGATGACAAAAAATGAGAAACGCTACCTCTCTTACCTTTATATAGGCTACCACAACTTCCGGCGCATGCTAATTGTTTCCTAACAAAGAGGGTCCTGGATTTTTCAACAAAAACTTAATTTTAACGTCGAAAACAGCTAATTTTTGAAAATTTTGTTGGTGTGCAGTCATCCCAAGGCCATTACGCACCTAATGACGTATCATACATGCCCCTAGCTACCCCCCTAATTGAGATAGTACTGGAACACGCTGACGGAAGTTGCATGCAAAGTGGCACACACACACACACACACACACACACACACACACACACACAGACACTATTTTTTTATATATAGTAGGATAAGAAGCATTGTCGACTTTCTACTCTTTCTCCACCTTACTAATTAAAGCGTGGACCCAGTTACGGTACTCGAATTACCGACAAGAAAAAAGAAAATCATTTCGTGTATTTTCGCAAATACCATCAAATACCGTATATTCGAGAGCGCAAAAAAAAACAGAAACGAGAAAAACATACAAAAATCCGGGCTACAAGTACGGTAAGAGGGGGACGGGGTTTAAAATTCAGCGACTTGAAATCACAGGCACACGTAGAATACAAATCCGAGACGAGGAGGTGGAGGAGTACAGGGCAATACAATGTACGTACAGTAGTGACGAGTGGTGGACAGAATATTTTGTTTTGTCGTTTTGCTGTGTGAATTGAGTAGAGGGCAGCGCTGGTGAGCGGGTTGGAACTAAAAACGCGTAATAAAATTCTATAAATATGTATATTACATTTTTACTACCGGGAAAAAATGGAAAATAAAATTTTTAGTTGGTGAGTGGGAGGTCGAAAAAGTGGCAAAAGCGTTTTTCACAATTTTTTAACGTGTTTGGGACTGTTTTTGGATATTTCAAAGCCAAAAATCGGTACAGTTTGCTTAACGGGGGTGGAAAATTTTCTATTTACAAAAGTTACTATGCTGTTTTCGAAACGTCCTTTTTTCCAAAATAAACTAAATTAAAAACTAAGTAAAGTCATTTTCAATCACGATTTGAATTTCCAGCGTGATTTAAACTGTTGAAAACTCAAAATATCGCCAGCAACAAAGTAAAGTCCAAAAAACGAACCGGTTACTCTCGTCTCAACTGGTCCAGCCGGGCCTGCAGATCGTCGTCGATGTCGTGCCCCGCACCACCGGTCGCTCCGCCTCCGCTTCCGCCCGCCGCCACCGGCTGTCGTGCTGCAGCTGCTCCTGTTGCCGTGCCAATCTGAAAAAGAATTGATTTTGAAAGACCGTAAACCGGTTCTAACAGGTTCTAAAGGGCTTTTACTTCCTAGTTTTCAAAATCTAAAGTTAAAACGCTTTGTTCGAAAATGAAAATCTGAACGACAAATTGGAAAAAATGATTTTAAAGCGCTGCACCACCAAAACGTCAAGCTCACCTTTCCACCCGGGGCCGGCAGTCCGCCGAGTTCTTCGCCCATCTGGATGCCGAGCTCGTCAAGGATCTAAATAAGCGAATTTGTAACTCAGAAACAAGTTGAAAACTGCTGTGAAATTGCCAGTATATTTCCGACGGGTTGATTCTCGTCGCAGGAAACCAATTTCAACAGTTACGGCGCACTTTCGGAACGATATAAATTTCGCTCAATTCTAAAAATTTAACTGGGCTAGAAAGCCAGAAATATCCGAAAATATCCGCTGTTGCATGGCGTGGATCGGAGAAAGCCGAAGGGCGCGAGAAAATGAAAAAACGCTACAAACTACAAAACCGGAACTATACTGCCAATTTCCGGTTTAACAGAACAAATAAACATACCTGATTAACGATGCCCTCGCTCTCCTCATCGTCTTCCGCGTCGCCGAGCGCGTCATCAATCGCGTCGCCCATGATTTCTTCCTAAAAACTGGGGCTCGAAGATCAAAATTATCCCTTTTACCTTCATGTCCATGATTTCGCTCTGCTTCTCGAACTCCATCATGATCTGTTGGATTTGCGGGAGGTTCATCTACAAAAAGAAGGAAATTATGAACCTGCTATTATCGAAAACCTGTTTATTCATACTGCGCATCGCCTTAGTCACGCCCTTCATCGCCTGCGCCATCGCGTCCTGGCTCTTCAGCGTTTGCACTTTCAAAGATACTGCCTAAAAATTAAAGTCCAGGTGTCGAAAAATCTTAAACCTGAATATTCGCCTTCATCACTATAAACTTCTTGATGTAGCGCCGCGTGCGGACGAGGTCCTTGGCCATCACTTTCACTGAATCCTGCAAAAAAAATATGTTAAAAACACCGAGACTCGCGTAATCGGGGGCTAATTTACAGACTTTTAATAAAATCTGTAAATTTCACGCTTTAGGATAGTAAAAAGCCTGTAGAAATAGTTTATCTACTTTTTACGTTAAAATCTTTGCCAAAACAAATATATATTTCGGTTTTTATTTAAAAAAATCGCAGTTTTTACGTTTAGGGACACCTAAAAGCAGCGCAGAAACGCTTTCTCTATCAACAGTTTTGGAAATTTTCTAAGGAAAAAGTGAATGAACCAAATCCTTCTAAAGTTAAAATTTCAAGTCTCAATTTTAAAGTTTATATTAATCAACAAATTTTTTACCATCTGGTTCATCTTGGCCATCTTCTTGATCTCGGCGATCACCTTCTTCTCCTGCATCTCCATGCGGCTCTTCTCGCGGTCGAGCTCGCGAATTGCCTAAAGCTCTCATCATCAAACCAACGCAAAATTCATACCTTGTTGAGGGCCCGCTGGTTTTGCCGGAGCAGCTCGGCGGGCGTCTTCCGGCGGCCGAACAGGAACTCCATGATTCTCCCTGAAAATACCGAGATTTATCCGAGAAATTAGCGAAAAAGAGATACAGAAATGTACAGAAAAGTAGATTCGCCCATGGCCGGCCATGGCAAATAACCGAGGAAATCACCGCACAGGGGACCCGTCAAGATAGGAATTTCGTCAAATAGTAGGAGCAAATATTTACAAAGATAGGGGAAATTTATATATTAAGTAGATATGATTATTATATCACTGTTAATTTGACTAATACGTCTAGAAAAGTCAAAAAAGCCTCTAAAAGTGGCAAGAAATGGGTAGAAACAACCGTAGGTAACAGGATCCCGCAAAAATCACAATTAGAGGAAAGAAGCCCCCTGAAGAAGAAGTAAAAACTGATGAAACCAGAATTCAGCTTTTGAACGTCAAATTATCGCCATTAAAACTAAGATTTTGCCCTTAAAATATACATAAAAACATCGTTAAACCTTAAAAAGAAGTGAAAACTTTCTAAAAAGTAGCAAATTCAGCTTTTGATCGTTCAATTATTATTGTTATTCAAACTAAAATTTGGCCCTTAGAATATTCAAAAAGATGGCTAAACCATAAAAAATTAAAATTATGAAATTTCCTAGTAAAATTATCGAGACTAAAACTACGATTTTGCGGTTAAAAACGCATAAAAAGATCATTATCCGTTGAGATCGAGCCGCAACACATCAATCGTCGTCTCATGGCACGGCCGCAGGTTTTGCTCGTGGAATCCGATGGAATAGCGATCGAGCCGTTGAAAATAGTCGAGCCCGCGCCCTATCTTCACTATCCACCCATTGTCAAAACGGATCTCCCGATCGTGAATCGTCGCCGAGTAGTTCACTTCGAGCTTCACCTTATATTTCGCGAGACTTTCCCGAATCCCGGCCAGCCCTTCCGCTCCTTGGCTCTTCTCTGCGGCGCCCGTCGTGAGCGATATCGTCTTGCAACTCGGCGCCCGGAGCACGACCAGCTCGCAGAAGCGCAGAAAGTTGATGATCTGGTGGTGGGCCGAGATGTAGGCGTCGAACACCTCGATCTTGGTCAGTCGATCGTTGAGGTAGTCGCCGAAGATTCGGTCGTAGCCATGGCCCGTCGAGCCAGCGACGATACGGCGCTGCTTGGCCTCGATGACTTTGAGGCTTCGGCGCGGTTTTAGCTTCTCGGCGCGGTCGAGGCAGTCTTGGGCTCTGAAAAAAAGGATTTTGATGGGCTTAGCTTGATTCTAGAGATATTTTAAAAGTTGCTTTGTCACACCTAGTTTAGTTAAGGGCTTTCAAAGTTTGACAAAACATCTAGCAATCCGTAAAAACGATAATTTTCATGATTTTTATTTTCTACAAACAAGAATCCGGCAAAAATCTTAAAAGTTAACTTTTTTGGAAATTCCACCTTTTATAACTCGCTTTTTTTTAATTGAATCGATGGTTTCCAGAGCTTGTTCGCAAAATTTACGGTTTAGCATCTGTTTTCAATCCCGAAAATTTGCAATTCTTTTTCACATCCGGATTGCCGGAACGCAAATTCGCTAGTTTTTTTAGAAAAGCACAAACGCACTTTGCTCGTATCGCCTCCCGCCGCGCGTCGCCCTCGGCCATCAGCCCGGACGCGGTGAGCAGCGCCTGCGCGCCGTCCATGTAGACGTCGGCCGCATCCTCGTGCCGGCCGTCCCGGTCCAGGTCGATCGCCCGCTTCATCAGCACCTTGGCCTTCTCGATCGACTGGTCGGCCGACATGGCTACCCTGAAAAAAAGTTGATTACTTTGACGATCATTAGCTTTGTCGTTGAGACGAACGATCGATTGCGAAAATTCAATCGATAACTTTAAAAATCAATTTTTAATGCCCAGAAAACTCGGCAAGAAAGTTCGGAGCAGAACCCTGGATTTGCAAGAAAGATGAATCACTTGATTTCATGCCAAGGGTGATACCTTATACGCCGCTGCGTGTCTAGCCCCCCGGCTTTGGGAAAGAAGGGCAAACAGCTGTTGGAGCGTGCAATAGCAAGCAGATAGGATGGGCTAAAGGCACAGGAAAGTCGGAAGCGTTTTCCGGCTTGAAAATGGTTTCACTGGTCCTTTAAAACAATACATATGGCAATACTTGCATGTAGTCTGTAGAGGAAAAGCCATTTAAGTTTAAAAACAAGGTTTTATATCCTTAAATCGTCTAGCATTCATAGACTAGTAGTAAAAAACGCTGGGCACTTTGAAAATGTATTTTTTAACCCTTTCAACTAACCATGAAACTCTATAGAATCGGCTCGTGGTCAAAAACCGACGAAGTGCTCGAAGTTTAACCTATAAAACTAGAAATTTGTCTTTTTCTTTTTCACCCCCTCCAACCCAAGCCCCCACTTTTCGCTCCTAAACACCCCTCCCGTGCCTATCGTCGTAAGCCTGAAAGTACTTTCTCAGGTTACAATTTCGACAGTTCCCAGCGCAAAACATCACTCGAGAAAGCTTGTTTTGCGTCGCCCCCGGTCCACCCGCCCTCCCACCCCTTTTCCCAACCGTTTGCCATTGTTATTTGCGGGCCTAGCACACACAAATCGATCCCAAACACCCATATCGCCATTGAGCCTGGTTCAGCAGTTTCTGTCTGTCCGGCGATAATCCATTGGTGCTACTCGATTTCGCTTTGGTCGCCTTTTCAAAACTTTTTTCGGGACGCCGCGAAAAAAGCTGGCCTTGAGAAATTCATGATCACTTTATGAGGCAAATTTGTATCGTGTTCTTTAACTCAATTTTGATATATCTGCAATCTATTCAAAGTAGAGAAAATAAAAATTTAGAGAAAAAAGCCGAAAAAAAATTTTCTCGGTTGAATTTCGTCGCGTAACTAATTCCATTTGCTCCAATGGACGAAAATCGTCGATAGGATTTAGGTGTAGTACGGAATCCTGGGCCTTATTTCTTTCTGTTTTCCATTTTCTTTAAATTTTCTATACAAAAAATTTCTTGATTTTTCAGAATGGGCACTCTGGAGACGTTCGGGTTGAGGGAAGCGTGGCCGCGCAGTCTACACATCGAACTGCCCGCCGATCCGCTCTTCTTCACCGTGTTCGCCTCGCTGGTCGCCGTCCCGTCCCTCTTCTTCGTCGCCACCATCGTCACGACGCTCATCGTCAATTTCGGAATCGCCTTCATCGTTCAAAGTAGAAAATTTTGACATATTTAAACCTTTTTTAGCATCCGCGCTCATCTTCTGCCTGGCCTGGTTCGTGCCGACGTTCATCTTCTGCATCGCAGGCGCCTTCTTCATCACAAAGGTATACTACATATTTTATTTAATAGATCTGCTTCTTTCGTTCTCTTTTTGCATTATCGCGGGCATGAAACTCAAGTTTTTTTTCAGTTCTTTCGCATTATCGGGGGGAGGGGGGTAACTTTTCTAATGGAAGTAGTTATAGACCTGTTTCTAAACTGTTTTCGACAATTCGTAAACGCAAACACTCTATGAATTTTGAGCAAAAAGTAGTCGCGGATTTTCGCCATTTTTCCACTTGAAATATGGTTCATTTTGCTAAAACACTTACTATAACGCTACTAGGCATTCCTGAACTCCCCGCCCTCGATATTGCGAAAGAACCGTTGTTTCTATAGGATCTAATTTTTCTCTACTTCGAAAAGCTCTGACTGTGTTTCGTAAGCGGAAACGCCTTCCCCCCGATAACGCCAAAGAACCCGGTTTTCTATATAAAATAATTAACGATCGAAAATTTCCTGTTTAGGCCACGCGCGCTGTCTTCTTCCTCCTCGATCAAGTCGAACAACGCCATTTGCCGTACGACAAATCGGCCCACGAGAAGCTGCACTAATTCTCGTGCCACTGGACTTTGTTTGTAATAATTTCTAGATTTACCCGCTAGTCCTTTTTGCTACTTGAATGTACCTCATTTCCGCTCAATACTGTGCACTGTACTAGTTTTTACTCTTTCAATTTGTCATTTTTTGATGAGATTTCCCTCTCATTGTATAAAACACCCCCAAAATACCGGTCCCCACGACTTGTGCATGTTCCCCCCGATCTGTGATGAAGCCATTTTCACGTTGCCTTGCTTTTTTGCGATAATAAACAGTTTTTGCGTGAAGGCATTTATATTTTGGTGGGGGAAAGGCACATCCAATAGCCTCATAGAATCTTTGAAAGAGGTATCGCTGTAAAACTATCGCAGATGGACATAAAATTGTAGGAAAAACGTAAATAATGTTTTAGTTTTTACAAGAGCTCAAATCCGTGGTCGGCCGCCTGCTTTCGTTCGAATTCGGTGGCCTCCTGGAAAATTAGCGTTTTTTAAATTTTATTTGGCGTTTTGACGTTTTTAAACCACTCTTGGGCTTTTTTCTTAAAAAGTATAGTTTTTCACATGAAAAAGCGTTTTTGGGAGTAGGTTGGTCGAAATTGTGGACTGTTCGTGCTGGAAAAGCTTTCTAACATTTCAAAGTGTTTTTCAGCAGAATTGGCGGCCATATTGAAATAATAACTTGCCCTCGGACTCATCGTTTTTGGCTCCTCGTGCATCACGGTGAATAGTGGATCTTTTGTACGCTTTGACCCGAGATTCGTACCCAGCTCCACGTCGATTACTTGGTTCTGAAGGGGAAAGTTATTTTTGGGCGTTTTTTAGGCTACCAGATTCAAATATCGCATCGACTCCTCGAATTCGTCCTTGTTGCGCATCAGAAAGCCGACGGCGCACGAGGGATCGATGGATGAGATTGGCATTTTAGAGAGTAGTCGGCAGTGGAATGAGGAGAAGGGCTAAAAATGGTTGTTGAGAGGCGTTTGCAACCCTGAGAAGGCAGGCTAGCCGAGGCCGTTCAGCGCGTGTTTTTTTGGAGATTGGAGCTGTTTTAGCTTTCTCCTTTCTCGTTGCGTTTTTCGGGATTTTGCTGTCACTTTTGCGCGAGCAGCCAGGGCAAACTAGCAAAGATCCTTGCGGTGTGGGATCTTCCTTTTCGTTCTAGGTTTCTGAAATTTTTTTATGAGGCAAACTAGCAAAAATCCTTGAGGAAGCGTGGTTCTTGATCCAGTTTTAACGTTGTTTTTTTTTGGGATTTGAGGTTTTTTAGACGTCTCGTTGCGTTTTTTCGGGGTTTTTCTATCACTCATACCCGAGAATTTAAGGCAAACTAGCAAAGCTCCTTGCGGAGAATGACCGTAGTCTTCTTAGTTTTAATTTTCTGAAATTTTTGTCGAAGGAAAGCTAGCAAAGATCCTTGACGAAACGGTTTTTATGCCCCAGCTTTTTACCTTGTGTTTCCGCTTCTGTTTCGGCGAGCCGTCGTCGAGCTCTTTTTCCAGCGGAACGTACTGGTGGCTGACATGCGGGTCGAGGTAGATTAGTTGCTAAATTTTTCGATCTCGTTTGTAGGTTTTATCGCTTACGCCATGATAATGCCCGATGAAGTACGTGGAATGGTTCGGTTTTCCGCCGCCGATTCCTAGCGAATTTGGCATGGAGAGCAGGAATTCCAGGTGGCGATTGTAGACCTAAAGAATCGAGGGTATTCTAGATGGTATCGGGAGTCAAAAGTTGTAGGTTGTAGTTCGTAGTGTAGATACGTAGTTTAACGTTGCTATACCCACCTTATTAACGGAATGCGCCCCTAGCCGGACGCAAATAAATAGTAGTAGCGGTCTTGTCCAGTCCCTTGTCTCTCTTTCCACTACAGGAACGATTAGAGAACCATCAACGCAGACGACAACAGCCAGACCGGCCGTTAGCGATGAGGTCGACGAGGTGATGGCTTTTCTCAAAAAATACGTAATAAATTAAGTTTTCAACTCAGTTTTATTGCTGACGTTAGAAAATTCTTTAGGCGATCTAGCAGGGACTATTGCGGAGTTTTTTACTATATCCGCGAAACTCTCTGTTGGCTGGCCCGATCTGGATCTGGATCACGATTTGGCGCAAAATCACGATAGTTATTGAATCATATACTTTGCAGTGGTCCTTTCGGAATTTTGGCGGATCCCGTAAATGGTCTCTGCTAGCCTGCCCTCCTTTTAACTTACTTTAACAACCCCAGCGCTTCACTGGGCGTAAACCAAGATCCGGCTGATGTTTGTGGATTTTCACAAAAGCTGATCAGGCGGTGGATACCTTAATTTTGAGGGTATTACGGGAATTTACAAAGGTTTGGATACCTAAAGGTGCCATGGGTTGATCCTCGAAAAGGCGAAGAATTTCGTAGTGTTCTAGGGCCAGGGTAGGGGTTTGGCCCTGGAAAGGGACGCCGCGGAGGTTCCAACGCCAATCTGGAAAAGTTAAGTAGAAAGTTACTCTTTCTTACTACGTCTCTCTCGCGCGCTCTCTCTCTCTCTCTCCCTCTCTCTCTCTCTCTCTCTCTCTCTCTCTCCCTGTCGCTCTCTCACTCTGGTTCCGTTACTCTCGCGCTCACCGTTTCCCTATTTCTCTCGATTTCCCTAGGTCTCTCTCTCTCTCTCGCGCTCTCTCTCTCTCTTTATGTCTCTCTCGTTCTCTCTCTCTCTCTCTCTCTCTCTCTCTCTCTAACTTACTTCTGCCATGTCTTAATAAAAGCAGCGCTTGTGCCACCATCATTTGCCCGGTTCGCAACATACAGCCCCAACCACAGTCGGTTCGCAGCTAAAAATCTGGGTTTCCTAAAATGCGCTTCGCCTACCGTAGTCCCCTCCAGCGGTTCAAATCCGATACGATATGTCAGCCAGATTCTCGAGTAGTAATCACGGTAGAAGTCGTTGAAGCTTTGGTCGGGTTCTGAAAATGAGTGGATTAGAGTATCGAGAGAGAGAGAGAGAGAGAGAGAGAGAGAGAGAGAGGGAGAGAGCGGTAGAGAGAGAGGGACAGAGAGAGAGAGAGAGTGAGAGAGACAGGGAGAGAGAACGATAGATAAATACTTACCAAATGTTTCCGGAAAGTACTGTTCGCCAAGCAGTAAAATCGGATGTTCTCCCCCATAATTCATCGACTCGTCAATCCGCAGCGCTGACGAGTATTTGACGTTGTTCCAGGCGTTCCAGATTCGGCTCTGGAAATTAATAAAATCTCTCTCGCTCTCTATGTTTCTCTCTCTCTCTCTCTCTCTCTCTCTCTCTCACCTTGACTGTCTCCTTCTTCGGATCGGGCGGATCTCCATTTTTCCATTTTGACAATATATGTCGGCCAGCCCTGTAATAAAACATCGATAGGAAAAAGTTAAAAAATCAAATTGAATGGATATTCTTTGACGCACTTTTTCGCGGAGTTCAGCCAGCCCTCCTCCTGCTCTTCTTCTTTTTCATCGTCTTTTTGTAATTTCGAACTCCCTGGCAGCTCATCGTCGGAATCCGTGTCGTAAAAGTAGTCCTAAAAATGGGGGATAAAGCGAGAGGTCGAAAAATGTCGATTCTCATTGATACCAAATACTCAATAGTTTAAATGATTTTCGTCTATTATTGTATATAAATTACGCTTTGATGATTATTTACCCTATTTTACTTTGGTCATTTATCCTCATTTTGCCCAAAATACAGGTTTTTAAGGGTCGAGAAATAGCAAAAACGATATTTCAATTTTTTTCGAAAAAAAAATGGGTTTCTTGGTTTTTTTTGGCTACTGTAAGCTTTTTTGTAACTGACATTTAATATTTCATTTTAAATTTATAACATTATTCATTTATAAAAATTTACAAATATTCGTGAGGAGAAAAAAAGTGTGGGATTCACAAATTCTAAAAAACTCAGATTTTTTGGTTTTTTGCCTATTGTAATTTTTTTTAGTTTTTAGTGATTGTCATTTTTCGATATCTGAATAGCCCACCGTATCCTTGGTCCTGCAACTCGGCCCCGGTTCTACCGTATGCCCGTTTGGCAGCCTGCCAGCAGGTGGCCGATCTGCCATGTAAGAGAAAAATCTAAAAATCCCATAAATTACCTAAATATTAATTATGAAATTTATTACATAAATATTGGCTGTAAAAACCAATAAAAATACACTAGCAAAAACAATAAATATATTTATTCTTGTCACCATATGCCATTTCTGGGGGGTTGACCCGTAGCGCTACGCAACACACACTATCACAACGTTCTGTAGAGCCGTAATGCATCGGAATCGGGGGCGATGAAATGTTAGATTTAATATGCAAATCGGGTCCAAAATAGAAAGAATAAATAAACAATAAATAAAGAAATAAATAACTGTAATTTTTCAGAAACCTCTAAAAAATAAAAATAAACGAAAAATGCGCTTTTTAAAAGTTTCTAAAAGTTAAGGGTTTTTGGATAGCAAATTAACATTAAAACGATAAACCCTCAAATGCGCTATTTTGCATATATCTGGACACAAAGATAGAAAAATAAAAATGCATAAAAAAATTTTTTTGAATTTTTCTAAGAAATTAATATTACAAAATTAAAAAGAATTAAAAATTAAGATTGGCTATCATGATTTTTTAGGGCTCGCATAGAACCCGAAAGCTCGAAAATTCTTTGCTGAGCTTCCATAGTCCGGCTTTGTAGAAATTCTCCAGCTCCTCGACGGCACACAGCCCATCGCTCGAATCTTCTCGGCAAAAAAGGAGCTGAAAGCGACATGTTTCTACCGTGAGACTCGCTTGATAAATAATACCTTTCCTTTAGAGGTACCGAGACACCAAAAAAATCGAACCCTTTTGACTGGGTCTCGACAGCTACGCGACGCTCCAAAAAAATATGAAAGCGCCTTGAATTTGGTCCAAGTAGCCCCTCTCTAGCTAGTAACAAATGAGAAATCCCATGTCATTTGGGGTGTTGCGTAGCTATCGAGGCCCAGCCGATGGAAAGGTCGATTTTCGCGCTTATTTTAAGGGGTTTGTCACCTACCTTTTCTGTGAATACCTCCCCATTAAATAGCAGCCGGAAGTATAGGGCATTGCTAGGATCGGAGTAGACCTGAAAGTTCATCTCAGAGAGGGAGAGAGAGGAGCAAGAGAGAGAGAGAGAGTGAGAGAGTGAGAGAGAGAAAGAGAAAGAGACAGAGAGAAACTCACCTCCAAAACTACCCTACTGGCGTATCTGGGCGGATCTTGGGGCAAAATGCGGAGTACTCGAAGTAGTGGGCCTAGCGTTGAGTCGTGGGCGGAAAGGAGCTAAAAAACGAAATCCTCAAGCTTCCAAAAATATACCTTAATCTGGCTGATCTCAGGATCCTTTTGAATGGCTTCGATTACGTGGAGCCATTTTCCTAGAATGAAATGAAATTTAGAGAGAGCGAGAGCGAGAGAGAGAGAGAGAGAGAGAGAGAGAGAAAGAGAGAGAGCGAGAGAGAGAGAGAGTGAGAAAAAGAGCTAGAGGGAGAGATATTCGAATTTTCTTACCGATGACACTATTCGCCTCAGCCAGCTGCACCCTCTGCGCAATGTAATTCGGCCCGTCGATGAACATTTGCTCGCCTCTTCTCGTCGTCTCGGCATAGATCTATAAAAAAAAGCGATATCGTGAGTCATGCTCTCTCTTTCTCTCTCTCTCTATCTCTTTCTCTCTCTCTCTCTCTCTCTCTCTTTCTCTCTCTCACCTCATCCATCAGTCCATACGAAACACAGTCCCCTCTCGCGTTACAGGGCAAATTCTCACGCCGGCAGATGTAGAACCCAACCATCCTGAAATAGGTGGCGTAATCGAATGTCGGCAGGTAGCAGAGTCAATTCCATAGACAGGTAGACTAGCAGAAATCATTTGGGAATGGAAGGGGCAGGCTAGCAGAGATCATTTGGGAATGGAAGGGGCAGGCTAGCAGAGATCATTTGGGAATGGAAGGGGCAGGCTAGCAGAGATCATTTGGGAATGGAAGGGGCAGGCTAGCAGAGATTATTTAGGAAACCTACGCATCCATAAATTGCCAGGGATCAACAAAGCTGCTCGTGGCCGGTAGCTCTTTGAAAATTTGGCACTTCCGCTGAAGGCCTGCCGGGGAGCGCAATTTGAAGAATTGGGCGTATTCCTGGAATTTTTTTAACTTAAAAATAACAAATACCGTACCTCCTCATACTGTTTTCGCCAATCGCCAGCTTTTGCGCATCTACAGTACGCCTCCTCGTCAGCACATAGAAAATGGTTTCCCGAGAAATTGACGAAAATCCGTTTTAGCTCGGCTCTAAACGAGAGAAAAATGGGAAAAATTAGTACAAGCTGTCGCATATCCGAGAGATAGAGAGAGAGAGAGGAGAGAGAGAGAGAGAGAGGAGAGAGAGAGAGAGAGCGAGAGGGAGAGAGTGCGAGCGATACCTTTGAGGGTATAAAAACCCAGAAATCACGCCGGTCAACGATTGCAGCGTCCGATTATAGGGTGTTGTCATCGCGGACACCTCGATTCGAGGGGCTAAAAACGAATTGTTGGCCGGTTTCAAAGGCCCTGGAAAGTCTAGGACCAACCCCTATTAGAGGCTAGGTCTCGACGACTACGCGATACACTAAATGACATCAGTCCACCGGAGTTTCTAGCCCTGCTGGTCCGGAATTTTGAGCAAAAATCAAGAGTTTTTGGGTGGTTTTGGGAGCGCGGCGGAGCTGTCGAGACCTAGTCGATTCAGGGGTCGATTTTTGGGCATATTGAAATTGCCTTTAAATTGTATTTTCTATACCTTTAAATAGGGAGGTATTCGAATATCTGCCATGCAGAAATGTCCCTAATCTATGTAGCTGCAGAGCTCCTTCCGCTGTCAGCTGGCCGGCTTGGCAGGCCGACCTGAGAAAAAAATGGATAAATTGAAAGCAACAGGGGATGGTTTGCACCGTAAAAAATAAATTGAGAAGAAGTCAAGCACTTGAAAGTCGAGAAAAAACAGAAAAGTCAAGCGAGTGACGTACTGATGTGGGATGATCCCGTAGCTGCCATTTCTCAGGGTAGGATGTCGCTGCATAAAGTCCTCAAATGACGGCGAAGTGATTAGCTGAAAAAATGACGCTCTCAACCTTTTTAAAAAATATCGTCGGAAATGCTTGACTAATGGGAATAGGAAGTGCAAAAATCGACAGAATCTCCCCGCTAATGAATCAGTGCCACCAACTGGCGAGTGCTGAGCTTATTTTTATATCCCCCAAAAGGGTGACGGTAGAAAAAAATGGAATGAACTTGTCACTCGTCATTTGGAACGTCTCGTAGCTGTTGGGACTTCCTGGTCCCTTTAATGCCGTTCCCTTACCTGCCTATATTTCCGGAACGCTACTCGATCCGTTTCGTGGTATGGGGCGCAAGAGGTCGTCTTCATCAGCTCCGCATCTTCGATAAGTGCAGCCCGCTCGCCATGTCTCGTCAAAACCACGAGCCCCCGAAGCTTCAAATTCTTGCCTAGCCGTCCGGAGCGCGGTTTCACGAGGCCTAAATTTTCTGATGAGCCTGAGAGTTCAGTCTACGCCGAAGCCAAGCCTAAGCCAAGCCTAAGCCAAGCCTAAGCCAAGCCCTGGCCAAGCCTAAGCATAAGCCTAAGCCAAGCCTAAGCCAAGCCTAAGCCAAGCCCTGGCCAAGCCTAAGCATAAGCCCTAAGCCAAGCCTAAGCCAAGTCTAAACCAAGCCTAAGCCACGCCTAAGCCAAGCCTAAACCAAGCCTAAGTCAAGCCTAAGTCAAGTCTAAGCCAAGCCTAAGCCGAGACTAAGCCAAGCCTAAACCAAGCCTAAGCCAAGCCTAAGCCAAGCCTAAGCCAAGCCTAAGCCAAGCCTAAGCCAAGCCCTGGCCAAGCCTAAGCATAAGCCTAAGCCAAGCCTAAGCCAAGCCTAAGCCAAGCCCTGGCCAAGCCTAAGCATAAGCCTAAGCCAAGCCTAAGCCAAGTCTAAACCAAGCCTAAGCCACGCCTAAGCCAAGCCTAAACCAAGCCTAAGTCAAGCCTAAGTCAAGTCTAAGCCAAGCCTAAGTCGAGACTAAGCCAAGCCTAAACCAAGCCTAAGCCAAGCCTAAGCCAAGCCTAAGGCAAGTCTAAGCATAAGCCCTGGCCAAGGCAGCCTAAGCCAAGCCTCGTCACAGCCAAGCCTTCAAAGCCTCACCTTCCCATCCGTGCATCGGATCCTCGAGAAATTGGCAGTACTCCCGCCATTTGTCTGGGATCGCATCAGAAGGCGAGGTAATGGGAGGCTTTTCTATATTGGTCAAAATCAATTTCTTTTTCCAAAAAATCTAATTACTACTACTTCCCTACTTTAACAAATGTTGTAGTTCGTAGACTATCAAACAATGCCAGATTTAGTATCGTTTAAAACCGACGGGAAATTACTTACCTTTAGAAATTGGCGGCGCTTCAACTGGGATGTCCTTTGGCAGCTCGGTTGATGACCCTGGAAATAATACTCCTTGCCAGTTCCTTTCAGCAAATTGACGGCCATCTCAAACACTCACAATTCCGAAAGATTCCGAGCAAAAAGTAGACGATGCATAGGATGAGGACGGCCCGCAGGCATAATGAATAGCCCCTCATCGACCATATACCGCTCTAGTTAGATCCCGGACGTCATTTCGTTCTAGAAAAAGGTAAAATCCTGCTCGTAGAGGTATCAGAAAGCCCAAAAATCGACCCCACCATCAACTGGGTCTCGACAGCTACGCGATGTTCCAAATGGGACATGGAATGTGTGGGTTTTTTTCTTTTAAGGGTAGAGCGAGACAGAAGAGCGAGAGAGAGAGAGAGAGAGAGAGAGAGAGAGAGAGAGAGAGAGAGAGAGAGAGAGAGAGAAAGAGCTAGAGGGACCGAGAGAAGGCAGGAGAGCGAGATAGAAAGAGAGAGAGAGAGAGAGAGAGAGAGAGAGAGAGAGAAAGAGTGAGTGAGATAGACAGACAGAGAGAGAGAGATAGAGAGAGAGAGAGAGAGAGAGAGAGAGAGAGAGAGAGAGAGAGCAAGCGAGCCAGTGAGAGCTAGAAAGATAGACGAGAGAGAGCGAGAGAGAGACATTGAGAGAGAGAGACATAGATTTCGCAAGTCTTGGTTGAGCGATCCCTTTGAAAACCACCAAAATATTTTTTTAATACAAAAATATAAATCTGGCCGATTTCACCATATTCCTACAGTAAGAATTCCGGCAAAAATTGTGACTATTTATTGGCACCAAACAGATATTGTGAAAGACGAGATCGTATTGAGAATGGAGGATCAAATTGGCATGAGATTGTGCGGATAAAATTGAGATCACATAAATTATTAGACCAGGCAAGAATAATGACTGATTGGAATGGACAAATCATAAAAAAATCCCAGTAATAAAAATGAGAAAGATCACATAGAAAAATATGGCGGTGAAAGACGACGAAAAGTGATAAAATATGGAAAAAAATGGAAGATAGCAGGGCATGCAAAAAAAAACCGAAAATTACAACTTAATAAATTCCAATGTTCATGAATAAATCGGTTCTTATGCATTACCGGGGGGGGGTAACTTTTTTTAAGGATTCCGTTTTTCTAAGATGAACAGAAGATGTTTTTTGACTATTCCTAAATGTGAAATTTACAAATTTCGGTTAAAAATTACAGGGAGCAAAAATGATTTTTGAAAATGTTCGCAAAAATGGCTGTTTTTCGATCAAAAATTAACCAATCTTTTTTCTAAAAGTTTGCCGATTGTTTTTTCATCTAAATATCAGTAAATTGTGCTAAAAACAGTATCGAAACACTTCCTGTTCCCTATTTATAAACTTTTAGGAAAAAGCTGCCCCCCGATAATGCCACAGAACCATTTAAACAATTATTGATTGATGATGCTTAATTAAATATAGGTCGAAAAACTAGCGTAAAATTATAGTGCTTCTTTCTGATATTTTTTCTACCACTCGAAGTCGTCGTTCGCCGGCTCATACCGTTCCAACCGAAGGTTAGGCACTTCCAGCTCTTCCTCACGACCGGGCGGGGAGGTTGTTTTCTAAATCATGGTAAACCTGCCGTAACCGATATCAAGAATTTACCTTTTCTTCAGCTTCTCCCCCGCCGTCCCTTTGTTTCATCACCATCGCCATGTAGCGTGCCATCACCGGGTCAACGCCCTCGAATACGGTATTTTCGGTGGCGGGTACGGTAGTTGGGGCTAAAAAAACTTTTTAAACCTCTTTAAAGGCGCTGGGAAGCGTGAGATCCGACTCCTAAGTTTTGGGTTTAGACAGTAACGGGACACTCCAAATACCAGACGAAAGTTTTATTTTGACAGCTCTAGCCGTCAAGTTTGAGGCGAAACCCGACGCTTTGAGAGTCATGAAGCTGCCTAGACCTAGTAACCGGAAGGGGTCGATTCTCGTGACGAGAGAGCGAGAGAGAGAGAGAGAGAGAGAGAGAGAGAGAGAGAGAGAGAGAGCGAGAGAACGAGCGAGCGAGAGCGCGAGAACCAGAAAAGAGAAAGAGCGAGAGGGAGAGAACGAGAGAGAGAGAGTGAGAGCGAGCGAGAAAGTGAGACAGACAGAGAGTGAGCGAGTGAGAGAGAACTTCACCCACCTTCCTGCCTAGCTTCCACATTCCTTTGAACAGTTTCGGGTCTCTCTTCCGGATCATTCCTCAGGCCAAGCGCCCGATTCCGCTGCGCTTCGCGTTGACGCAGCTTCTCCTCGAAAGTCAGCTCGTTTTTTGTAGGTTCGGCTGGCGGGGTTGTCTCCTTTTTCGGCGAGTTTTTAGGCGGAGACTGCGCTGGGGAGGGCAGCTTCACGCTTCTGGGTTTCGTTTCTGTCTAAAAACGCGTTTTAAATTCGGAATCGAAAAAGGATTTTTGACTCGACAAAAGAATCCCTGCTGGCCCTTACCTTTGGCTGCTCGGGGGCGCGGAAAATCGGATCGGAAACCTGGGCCGGTCGAACGGCCACGGGACGGTGTATTTGCCTGTAATAACCTCGTTTCATAGCCATCGTTTTACCTTAATTTAAGTTTGTAACTTAAATTTTTTTGCGCTTACACCGCGTGTTGTGCGCGCGCCATGGATACGTATGAACCGTCTACGTTGCGTTTTGCGTATTGCGTGAGTCGCGTGTAAAGTGCGTTGCGTATCGCGGTCGTAGCGTATCACGTGCATTGCTAGTCGCGTGGGGTTCCTGTTCACTGCGCCGCGCATCGCACACGTTGTATGCGTCGCGTTTCACGCATATCGCGTACAGCGTGCGTTACGTAGCGCGTACGCCACGGAATTCTGGCTTTGTGTGCCGCGCGCGCCGGCCCGTTGCGCATAGCGTACATTGCGTGTCGGGAGCGTATTCCATAAAACGACAAAACCTATTGGAAAATTTGGTGTTTTTGCCGTAGTTTTGCTTTGCCTTTTTTAAACACTCAAGTTTTTCCAAGTTTTCTAGAACTAAAAACAAGACATCAAAAATTTAAAAACGGCATAAAAATTAATCAAAGCGAAGTTTTTACGGTTTTTTTTACCTTGACCTCGTCTCCTCGATCGCCTGATCTCTGCAAAAATCATCAAGCTGCCCGGCGGTCCAGTCGTCGTCGAGGACGGTGGCCCGGAAACCGAAGATACGATCGGCCGTCGCGTCGAGGTCTTTTGAAGCATCACCAAGGGCTCGGAGACGCTTTCGAATCTCGGCCACATCGGAATCGCCATCGGAAGAGAGGGACGAGACAGGAGACGTCGAGGGGCTTATCCTCCTAGAAAAACAAAAACACTATCAGAAAATGTATCTAAATATCTAAAGATACATCGCAGAAATCTGCGTGCTTCAAATGACTGGTCGGCGCGAGAAGATGGTAAACTTACCGTGGTCGCCTTGAAGCCGAGATGCTTCTGGAGCGCTGTATCGTAAGATTATGCAAATCGCGACGTCGCAATTCCTTGACCTGCTGCCGTAGATAGCTTCTTTCCTGGGAAACAGTCTTCAGGCGATCGTTCTAAAAATGCCAAATTTTAGGTGTTTTTCTTGGGCGATAGTCTCGCCAAGGGTCTCTGCTAGCTTGCCTAGGACCCCAATATCCTGTTTCCGGCACCTTAGGAGGCGTTACTAGTCTACTCTCTGCCATTCAGTAGTGTCGAAATTGCCAAATGATCTCTGCTAGCCTGCCCCCGATCCACCAAGGTCTTCTGAAATTATCAAATGATCTCTGCTAGCCTGCCGTGGGATGTAACAAGATTTTGCAAATTCCCAAATAATCTTTGCTAGCTTGCCACCTATCTTTCTGTTTTTTCGATGTTTCCCAGATACTCTCTGCTAGCTCGCTTCCGGACATTCAAAGTTTTGCCAATTTCTCAAATAATCTTTGCTAGGCTGCAACCGAGTTTTCAAAACTGGACAAAATGTTAAATGAGCTTTGCTCGCCTGCCTCTGTTCTCTATAGATTTTGAAAGAACGAAATTCCCAAACAATTTAAGCTAGCCCGCCTTATTCCGATTCCTCAAAAATCACTGCTACCAAACTATGACCTTGCAAAGTTTTCTGAAATTCTCCAAGAATCTCAGCTAGCTTGCCCGTGTTCGATAAATAGTTCCTTAATTCCTCACAAATTTCTGCTAGCCTGCCTCACTCGCTGAAGGTTTTCTTGAATTCTAAAATGATCTCTGCTAGCCTGCCTAGCCCGCTAGCCTGATCCTCAGGACCTTCGGTAATTCCCAAATAATCTCTGCTAGCCTGCCACCAAGATTTCCAGGTTTTCGAAAAATCTTCAATCTTTTTGCTAGCCTGCCTAGCCTGCAACCAAAAGTTCAAGCTCTTTGCGATTCCCAAAGAATCTCTGCTAGCCTGCCCTCGATTTTTCTAGGTTTTTCATGCTACGTAAATAAACTCTGCTAGCTTGCCGATCTTTTAACTTCTAAAACGTACCATCATCGTCATCCCCAGCCTCAGCTCCCTGATCTTCAGCGCCGCCGCGTCTTCGGCCATTTTGTGTTGATGTTGTGCCATTTCGAGCCGAGCCACCCCGGCTACCGTATCCCCAGATATCCGTCTCGCCTCCACCAACTGTTGTCTCAGTCTCCCGTTCTCCTCCTTCAACCCGGCATAATCCGGTTGGAGCCGCAATTTTTCGGATAGGTCCGAATTCTCGGCGGCCATCCGCCGCAGTTGGTCTTTGTGGCCGGAGAGTTCGTTCTAAAAAAAAATTAAAGATGAAAATTAGTAACATTTTAATGGTTTAAAGGGACCAGCAAGTGCTAGTATCGACCTCTGCAGCAACTAGGTCTCGACAGTTGCGTTGCACTTGAAATTCCTGCTTATCCCTACCTGTCTCACTCTTTGCCGCTCTCTCTCTCTCTCTCTCTCTCTCTCTCTCTCTCTTCTCTCTCTCTCCTCTCTCTCTCTCTCTTTCTCTTTCTCTTTCTCTGTCTCTCTTTCGCTCTCTCTCGCAATATCTCTCGCTCCTCTACTCGCTCTCACTCCCCCTAGCCCTCTCTTGTTCACTTCCTCTAGCTTTCTCACTCGCACGCTTTCTCGCTCACTGGCTCTCTATCCCTCGCGATCTCTATCTCTCTCTTTCGCTCTCGCTCTCACACGATCTCGATCTCTCTCCCTCTCTCTCACGCCCTCTCTTTTTCTCTCCTCCTCTCTCTCTCTCACACTCTTTCTCCCTCTCTATCTCTCATCCTCTCGCTCTAGCTATCTCTGACCAACCTCTATGCCTAGGAGTTGATCAAGCCGGTGCCGAAGTTCAAAGTTTTGCGAGCCGGCGTCGGCCAATTTCCTGAAATTTTGAAGTAATTGGGGTCCTACTTCGTGTTTTTTTGAAAAAATCTTGACCTTGCTGGCTCTTCCCGGTGCCTTTAAAACTCACTTTGTCAACTCGGTGATGCGCATCTCGAGGGTTCTGATGCGTTCCAGGCTTTCGATCTTCTCCGCCTCGACAAAGCTTTGGGCTACTCGCCGGGCTCGCTCCTCCACTTGACTGCTACCGGCTTCTAGAAGTTCAGCTTAATTGGAAAGAAGAGGTCAGTGCGGAAAAATTTCCGGTGATTTCTGCTAGCCTGCCCAGCAAAGCTGAGTATCTTCGGTGAATCCGGGTTGTTTTTTCAAAGAACCTCTGCCAGCTCGCCTGGTGGGGTGTCGTATAGCTCTTGAAAACCCAATTCTTTCCAAAATGATCTCTGCTGGCTTGTCTCAAGGCGATAATTCCCCCCAATTATCTTTGCTAGAACCCTAGAGAAAAGTAACACCAAAAAATTGTTATGGATTATGGGTGTTCCCAAATAAACTCTGCAAAAAAAGCAAAAAACAAAAGTATCTGAAGATTTTAAATGATTTCCGCTAGCTTCCCGCTGAATCAGTCTTCCCAAATGGTCTTTGCTAGCCTGTCCTATGCAGATTACAGCAGTTTCCTCTTTTTTCAAACGTTCTCTGCTAGCCTCCCTCAAAAACCAGTTTTCTCAAATGGTCCTTGCTAGCCTGCCGTACGCAATTTAAAGCGATTTTCGCTTCTTCAAATGATCCCTGCCGGCTTCCCCTACCTTTTCTCGCTATTCTCTCCTTCTCCAGCTGCAACGCCTCCCTCTCCTCCTCCAACTTCGCCCTCCACTCCGCCTGCACAAATTCAAATTGCTCCTTGGCGTTGATGAACTCGGCAAGCCGATTTTCGAGCGCCCTTCGGTCCTGCTCGAGCCGCGCTTCCTTCTCCTAAAAGTGAGGGTTCTTTCGCATTATCGGGGGGGGGGGCAATTTTTTGTGTGTTAATCTAGAAATGCCTAGTAACTTAATAGTAAGTGTTTTTTATGTAGTTAGTGCAACAAAACCATAATTTAACTAGAAAACTATCTGAAAATTTCAAATTTTGGCAAAAAATGGCCATTTTTGTTCGAAAAACCGCAATTTTTTATATTTTTTCGATAAAAATTTGTAAATTTTTTACGTTTTTAGATAGTAAAAACAGTTCATAAACACTTCAGATTATTATATTTAAAAAATTGGTTGCTAAGAAAAAATTTCTCCCCCCCCCCCCGATAATGCGAAAGAACCAAAATGAGATAATGAAATGCTGCTACAAAAATTTTATGGTGTAAAGAGTCCGACTCGTACCCTCAACTTCAGCTCGATCGTATGCCTCAAATCCCGGTCCTTGCCGACGACAAATTCCTCGGCCCTCCGCTTCTCCCTCTCCACCTCGCGCTTCAACTCCTCGCGGTCCAGCTCGTACTCGTCGCGCAGCTCGCGCAACCGGTGTTCTACTTCGTTCTAAAGGAGCTTTTGGATGCGTTGTTTTAAAGAGATGGTGACAGGCGGATCCTAAAAAACTTCTAGCTTGTTAAATCAGCAGAATCTAAAGAATCATTGCGAGTACACCTAGCAGAGAATCCTCAAGAACCTCTGCTAGCTTGCCAAAGCAACAGCATCCTAAAGAATCACTGCCAGTTTGCCCGGCAGACGATCCTAAAAAATCTCTGCCAGTTTGCCTAGAAGAGGATCTTCAAGGATCCCTGCTGGCTTGCCAAAGCCAAAGAATCCTAAAGAATCACTGATAGCTTGCCTGGGAATCCTAAAACACCACTGCTAGCTTGTCCAACAGAACCCAAAAGTCAGAGCTAGCTTGCCAGGGAAACAGTATCCAACAAATCTATGCTAGCTTCCCAGAGCAACAGGATCCTCAAGAATCTCTGCTAATCTGGCGCAAAAACCGCAAAAAATCCGAAATTACCTGTGCTAGCCTTTCCGGTGACCACCCATTTTTTCAGGAATACTAAAGTCAAAAATCACACAAAATCGGCCGGCATAAAATTAAAGTTAAAGGGCCGCGGAATGCAAAAATATCAGGCTTAAAATTCCTAAAAATTATCTGCTATAAAAATTCAATTTAAAGGAGCGCTGAAGGCAAATAGCCGTCGTAATCGTTTTTCACCCACCCGCTCTCTTTCTCTGGCCTCTCTCGCGCGTTCCTCATATTTTCGCTCGACCTTCTTGACGATCTGCTCGGCGAGCACGCGCATCTGGTGTGGCTGATCGGTGGGGGTGCGCTGGAAATTTTTTTGGCTGATCAAAGGTATCAAAATGGCGAGTTTATGTGAATAAATCTCGAAAAACCAGTCTTGTTACTTCCCTTAAAATGCGATGAAAAATACCCTTAAGCTTCTGCCGGCCTTGTCGACATTCGTTAATGGGATCGGTTGATAGCCGGGCTGCGAGACGCGGGCTATCGCGCGGCCCAGAAGCGCGTCTAGGCCCTCCTGGAATTCAATTATTTTATTTACGTTACGAAGTATGTATTCTTACAGTCTTTTAATAAAACTTTAAACTATACTTATACTAAACCATTCAGATTAAAAAAGACCCCACCTTTTGCCTGCATGGCCGTTGAATCCGCTGCATTTTTTTGTCGAAATCTAATTTTAACTAGCAAAATAAAGCAAAAAAAACGTCGGTTGTCGTCTCGCAGCTACTATCGATACATTTTGAAGCGTTTCTGAAAAGGATAATATTTTCAAAATATTGGTTATATACTCAAAAATCATCAGAAAAATGGTAAACCAGCCGGCAAGCTGAATTAAATGTGATAAAATTAAAAATATAGGTCATAGAAAAGTAAAAGTAGTAGAAATCAGAGTTCGCGCCTATTAAAAATAAATGCTATACTTTATTCCATCTGCATTCTAACCCAATTTGAAAGACCGTAAGCGTAAAATTACAAAAATACATCTGAACAGGCGCAAAATCTTTGAAAAAATGCTAAAGTACAAACATCAAAACGTAAATAAAGTAATATATAGCTTGCAGAGTTTGTATCCATTAAAAATAGAAACTCTACTTTATTCGATCTATATTTTAATGCATTTTGAACACCGTAAGCCGAAAAATACAAAGAAAATCTATTAAACTAACCTAAAATATAAACAAAAAACGTATATAAAGTAATACATAACTTTATCTAGTTTGTATCTAGCCAAAATCTAGATTTTAACTTATTCCGCTTCTACTATAACGCATTTCGAGCCAAAGCAAGCATTAAATTACAAAGAAAACTCGCAAAATCCAGCAAAACAAATTCCACTACGCCTAATTGTTGTTAAAATATATGAAGTAATAGAATTCAGCCAACGTGCTATTTTCTAAACTACAATGTCTAGACGGCGGTCTGAAATCGGGGGCACCGATGCGTGTTTCCGCGTGTTGTTGGGGGATTACCTGGTTGCCAGCCTGAACCACCCGCGGCTACACGGTACTCCCCTGCACGCCCGGGGATGGTGGGGTAATGGCGCGACAAGGGCCCTTATCGAGACAAACATTGAACGCATAATGGAGTGTTATCGGGTGGTCGGGAATCGAACTATGGAACACTTTACTTGATTAAGGGAGAGAGCGAGCGAGAGAGACAGAGAGAGAGAGAGAGAGAGAGAGAGAGAGAGAAAGCAAGATAGGGGGAGAGAAGGCGAGGGAGGCAGAGGGAGAGAGGGCGAGAGAGCGAGCGAGAGAAAGGGAAAGAGCGCCAAATAACCCGTGCAATTACAAGATCATCTTGACCGAATTTGGCCTTTTCCCAGTTGCTTAAAAGATTCCAAGGCTGCGATTTACGACTGTTATTTGTAATGTTGCGTAGCTGTCGAGACCTAGTCACCGAGAGTAGACCATTTCTTGCTTTCCGGTCATTCTCGGCTTCAATTTCTTGGTGTATTTTAATCCGTTAGATTGTATGACAAATATAACACAGGTCAAATTGTTTATTAGCCAAATAGCAAAAAAAAAATAATTTTTCGGGGATCCAGCTCAGCCGAGGTACTGTAAAAAACATTAAAAATTATGCCATTTTTGCCGTACCCCTAGCGAGTCCTGCCCAATTTTGTACGTCGTACCGTAGGGGGACCAGCGACCCTGAAAATTTCATTTTTTGAAAATTACAAAAATTTACATAGTCTTGCGCGTATCCACCGCCGCTACCGTATCCTAAAAAAGGTGAAAAAATCAGGTGAAACGGAAAATTTTCATTACCGTATCCCGTGGCCTGGGTACTGTAGGTTGGGCTACCGTAGCCGGCACCTAAAAATATTCATGCTTTTGAAGCTAAATCGTGAAAAAATCGAAAAATTACAGTAGGTCTAGTAAAAAGCTGAATTCAATGCCCATAAAATTTTTTGATGTGTTTAAAAAATTGAAAGCTACGGTACTCGGATACGGTAAAAATAATTTATAAAAAAGTGATATTTTCATTACCGTATCCGCTACCGTAACCCGAGTACATTGGGGTCGATTGGCCAAATCCACCAATTGCGGATCCGCCGCCACCGGATGTGCCGGAACCTCCGGAATTTCCTGAAAAAAATTTGTTTTTAAGGACTAGAGCGTCCCTTTAAAAGGACACGGCAAGGTACGTTAGGCTACGGCATGCAAAAATCGATACCGTATAGAATAATCGGTCCCAGCGCCGGGTTGACGGGCACCGGACCGGAAGCTGTCAAATAGACGAGATCATCAGAGGCAGCGCTGGCTTGCGGCTGGGCTAAAAAAGAGGGCAGGCTGACAGAGATTCTTGCGAGCGTTTTTGGCTACGAAAAAAGTTTGCCGGTGGTCTCACATTAGTCAGGATCTCGATACGCTTAGCTTAGGCTTAGGCTTCGGCTTAGCATTAGGCTTAGGATTAGGCTTACAAGGAGTGCTTTTTGAGTCATCGGCAAAACCTTACGAGCAATAGCACATTCGATAGAGAATTGGATTCTAAACAAGACCCCGTTGTTCGTTTTTGCGGAATGGATATTCCTGAATTTCTAAAATTTTAAAACTGCACCCAAAAGCCTCTCTTTTTGCTCGAAAGGCACTCATGCTAAGAGACGGCCACTAGTATTTTAATTTTATAAAATCAGGGATAGCCATTTCGCAAAAAAGGACAACGGGGTCCTGCTCAGAATTGAATTCTCTATCGAATGAGCTAGGTCTCGTACGGTTTTACCGATGACTCAAAAAAGCACTCCTTGTTAGGTTTAGGCTTGAGGCTTGGGCTCCGGTTTCGGCTTAAGCTTAGGCTTATTCTTAGGCTCAGGCTTAGGCTCAGGCTTAAAGGGCTAGTTCAGCCAATAAAACAAAAGAATTTCCGCGGCCAGGAGTCGAAGCCTCTCTGCGTTTTTGTGTCTGCGCCTCTCTCATTTCCCCGATCTCTAATAGCTGTCGTAATGTGGGACTGTTGGGGCGCAGTGTGCCTACGTCCATAGTTTCCCAAGGTACCAGCCTAAGCTCTAAAAGTTGAACTAGCCCTTTAATCTTGGGTTTAGGTTTAGGCTTAGGCTTAATCTTAGGCTCAGGCTTAGGCCTAGGCTTGGATTTAGGCGGCGGCGCAGGCCCAGGCTTATTAGGCTCAGGCCTAGGCCTAGGGCCTAATTTCAGAATTTTGCTGCCTCTCAAGCCCGTCGAGTCACCGCGAAAATTGTAGAATTTTTGAGCTGATCAGGGAACAGGCAAGCTAGCAGGGTTCTTTTGGGAATCAGAGCTGAGGATTTTGCGCATACCGTAATAAACCGGACGTTGCGGTTGGTGCTGTGGTTGTGGGCGATAGGTTGGGCGGTACTGGTAGTTGGGCTAAAAAGTGGGAGGAGATGGCGATGTTTCTCTCTCTCTCTCTCTCTCTCTCTCTCTCTCTCGCTCTCTCTCTCTGTCTCTCTCTCCCTCTCGCGCTCACTCTTACTCTATCTCCTCACCTGATAATAGACTGGTCGGCGATACGATGCCCGGTAGGCATTTGGCTAAATTGTCCGTAATTTCTCAGGGTACGAGGAAGCGCTAGATTTGGCAAACTGAGCAAGAACTTCGTCGTCCGTGCCCCTCTCACGTCAAAATACAGTACCTGAGCACGGTAGCTACTGGGCTGCGGTACGACGGCATACGGAGCCGGTTGGGGCTCCGAAATTTGCGGAGCCTGAAGGGCCGGATCTGGGGGCGGAGCCGGCGGTTGTGGTGGCTGAAATGGAGCCGCCGTCACCGGCAAGTTCTCAAAGTTGTCGGCCACGGCTACTGGGTCGAAGGGGGCGGCAGTGGTGGTGATCAGTTCCTCCCAGCTGGGTGTCTGGAAGGTGTTAGAAGTTAGAAAGTGTGATCTTTCGTTCAAACGCTCTCACTCTCTCGCTCGCGCGCTCTCTCTCTCTATCTCTCTCTATCCTGATTCCTCGCTTTTGCTATTACTCTTTCTCACTATCTCTATCTCGCACTCCACACACTCTCACTCCCTCTCTCTCTCCTCCTCTCTCTATCTCTCTCTCCCGCTCTCTCTCTTTCTCTCACCTCTGTCTGATCAGTACCAATCGGAATCGGTGGCGCCTCTGTTGCTGGGGTCGTTTGTTCCGTATGAAATTTTGTGGAAATCCCCTAAAACGAGTATTTCCGGCTGATAAAACTTCCCACATCAAAATCGTCGAATATCCCATCATCCTCACTCTGGTGAAAGTGCTGAAATCAGGAAATTTGAACTGTCAAAAAAACTGTTGACTTTTGTGTATCTTTAAAGGGCCTAGGAAGCTCGAGAATCGACCCCTTCCGTCGGCTAGCGTCCGACGCGCAAAAGGAAACGTTTATAGCGTAATTTTTCATATGCCATAGGGCCTATGTGACGAAAGTCAAGATTTGCGGGCATGCGAGTTTTGGAGTGCCGCGTAGCTGTCGAGACCTAGTCGATGGAAAGGGATGGAAATTTTCGGGGACGTTGCGACCCTTTAGCCTAAATTATGGAAGTAGTGGTTACTGTAGTTCCGCGTCCATCGACGTCGTCTGCCGCTCTCTGACGGTAAATTCTGAAAACAAAAAATTTATACAAAACCCTTTGAAAATCGATCGTTTTTAAAGGGACGAGCAAGTCCAAGCTGTCGATTTTGTTGGCGATAGCTTTCTTTTAGCTTTTTCCAGAACGACGACACGCAACGCGTAAGCCAGGAATTGATTACCCTATGGAAATTCCGGAACGTGCGTCGCGCGTCGTGGCGCGGGAAAATCCGTAAGGTATCTATAGACTTCCAAACCCATAGTGGTGGCTTGCCCGTCCCTTTAATTACGCATTCATAGGATTTTTGAAGGATTTTAGGCTCACCTCGCCTCGGCAATAACAATAAAATACAGTAGAAAAGGTATCGAAAGATAATGTTTCATTATAGCCGAAAATTCTTGGAAAAATCAATGAAAAACGGTAAATATGGGCAGTTTGGGGTTTTTTGAAAACTAGTTGATGGTGGGGGGTAGATCCATTTTCTCTCTCTCTCTCTCTCTCTCTCTCTCTCTCTCTCATTCTTCCCCGAAAAATTGTTTCGGGCGCGAGGTGCCAGTGTTAGCAGTTCAAGGATAAACAGCACGCGTCCCCCGGGATCTGAGTTGATAAGGGAAAACACGGCCCTGTTTTGGAACCGAGTTTAAAGGGCCGAGCAAGGCATGACCGGGAATTTTCTCGGCTATGGATCGCCTAGAAATTTAGCAGCGCTGCGACACATAGCGCGACACAGAGCGGCCTAAAACTTTTTCCCTGTCGAGCCAGGTTGGCCTGGTAACAGAAAATAACGTGTTTTTTTGCTGTTTTAGGAAGGTTCTTTCGCATTATCGGGGGAGAGATCATTATCGCTAAAAATACAAAAATTCGAATCGAAATGGTTTCTACTTAAATTTTTGCTCGGTTTTTGTGGTTTTTCCACTTAGAATCCAGATACATTTTGCTAAAAACATAATTAAAATGCGTAGTATTGCGATACCAGGCATTTCTGGGCTCATAGAAAAAATGGCACCCCTCGATAGTGCGAAAGAACGTTTGGTAAAGCTATATTTGAAATGGAAGCACTATTAAAAAGCAAAGAAAATGCTGAAAAAGTTCACAAGTCATTTGGGGTAGACAAAAGAATCAATATTGCCACCCAAAACTAAATTTTTCATAAAATTCGCAAGGTTTTGAGTCTCTGGAACGGCTGAAAATCATGTACAAACTTTTCTGTGTGCTGTTTGTAAGGAGAAAAAGCTGAAAACATCGCAAAGCGCAAAAATTAGAAAGTGTAATTTGCATTCTCCGACAGAAGCTCGATAAGATTTGCATATCTAGTCAACCCATACGCAAAATCCGACACTGTTGCCGTCATTTTTGCTCCCCATCCACCTGATGTTCGGTCGTCGACACAACAACGGCGGTGGCGTGGTGGTCGTGTGGCTGCTCTTCAGCCTTCTCCACGCATCGCCCTCCTCGTCTTTCGGCTCGTCTCAACACATCATCGACAGCAAGTCGTGGGTTTCGAGTTTGGGTTGGAGTTCAGTTTATACCCCAACCCCCCCCCCCCCAGTCGGCATCCAACTCTTGCATCTCGGCACCCTGTTGATCTACATGCATGTGAAGTATACCAAAATGTTCGTCTTGCTCTTGCGAGTATTTTGGCATATTTTACCGACCTGTAGATGAACAGGAAACCGAGATACGGTAGGTGGCGGTCGACTGGGGGGTATCTGGAGTTTTACCAAAATTTCTGGCTTGGTGCATAGGCTTCCGGCTCGAGTTTTTGCCATCCAACACCATTCCAGACCTCTCGGGAATGTGGCTGCGGAACCGGAAGCTGCCCACGAGATGCTCGGCAACATGAGGGGTCCGGCACCGGGACTCTCGATGAACCCCCCAGGGCGAGTGAAACGTGCAGACGTGCGTTTGCCTGAATTGCAAAAGGTTTTTCCTCAATTGTTTAGTGTAAAGGCGGGGAGACTCCTTTCGTGTGCGTGGCAAAGTCTATCTTAGACCAGAAAGGCCTGCGGCACAAACTTGGAGATATCGAGGTTTGAGAAGCCCCTATTTGGAACAGTTAATAGTTAATTAAGTGCCCTGACTGTGAGATGCTGGAGTGCAAAAAGCAGCACGATACGCGCTGGCTCTTTACGACGGTCAACGAGGGTGTTCAGCCGCTGACACTGTGCAACCCGACCAGTATTCTCTGTGTAAGCACCTTTGACGGGTGGGCCGGGGGGGTAGGGGGAGACTGCATCCATGCCTTACAAGTAGGGCTGTCGACCCTGTCGAAAACAAGTGTTCGAATATTTTTCGTTTTGTATCTCGGTTGCCCTCCGTACGGCGGTGTTCAATATACCATAAGTCTTGGTCTGGCGAGGATTTTGGTATGCCTTGTAGCCCTCTAGCATAAAAGAATAGCCGAAATATTTCCGATGACATCGATAAGGTACTCTTTCTTAGTTTCCCAACCCCTTCCTCCACCCCGCCTCGCAAATATCCAGGAAACAATGGCGGTTTACTCAGTTTTTGGCTGAGTAAACCGTAAATCCTACTATATATAAAAAATAGTGTTTGTGTGTGTGTGCGTGTGTGTGCATTTACATGCAACTTCCGTCCGTATGTTCCAGTGGTATCTAAAGAAAGGAAGTAGTTAGGGGTACGTATGATACGTCATTAGGTGCGTAATGGTCATGACACGACTGCGCACGTATGAGGTTTTTGAAAATCAGCTGTTTCCGATATTAAAAATATGTTTTTGTTAAAATCTTGCTTGGCCTCTTTGTTAGGAATCAATTAACATACACCGGAAGTGGAAGAAGCTTATATAAAGGCGGGAGAGCGATTAAATTTCATTTTTTTATTTGGGGCGGGTGGGGTGGAATTATGCAAAGTGGTGCCAACAAGGGCCCTAGACAGGGCCAGGGGTGAAAAGCCGCGCAGCGGCTTTTCAACCCTGGTATAAATAAAGTAAATGATTCAAATTAGACTGAGGATAACGGCGAGAACTGTCTGCGCCCGGTCAAGCTTGGATCCGGAAGTGATGGTAGGATCTTTTAGCTATCATTAAAATAGTATTCGAGCTTGATCTACTCGTGCTACTGCTACAAGCTTGAATAGTAGACTGAGTATTACATGATACGCAGGCTTATATTTTGATTTTAGAATACTGGATGCTGTTTCCCGTCAATGTCTGCACTCGTGAAATGGTCCGGAATGGCGAGTGTCCCATGGAGAAACTGTTCGTTCCTTTCTTTCTGCGGTGTACCGACACGGTTCTTGCTTCAGGAGCAGCGACCCCTATGACTTCATCAAGCTGGAATACTCGACCGCTTATTTTATGCAATGTGACGACAGCTGGATCCTGCCATCGTGGGTGTCACGGCATTCCAGGGAGGCATGGATAGGACCTCTCGGCGCCGCGGCGCAATCGGTTAGCGCCGATCCCAAATGCCGAACAGAGGATCCGGGTTCGACCCCCGGGACCAACGTGACATTTCTCTATTTTTCTATTTCTCGACAAAACCTTTACCCGGCTTTTGCGTTTTGCTTAAAAAATGTGCTTGAGCTATTAAAAACTGATCAGATTTCCCCGAAAATGCTTGGTTTCTGCGCTATTTAAACCCGCACAAAATCCTGAACTAAGCTGGCGTCTAGCATATTTAAATCTAATTGAGTTTCTAATTTGGTTCTGTTCTATTTCGCGGGGGGGGGGGAACTGTGCGGGGGGGGATTTTCTTCGCGGAACCTTCCATCTTTTCGCAATTTTCTCGGGATTTTTGCACAGTTCCCCCCGCGAAATAGAACAGAACCTCTAATTTTTCTATTAAAATTTCGAGAAAAATCCAATTTTGTTCAAAAGTTTGTTCATTTTCGAACAAAAACGTAGCGAGCGCGCTGTCCTCTTGTGCAAGGGAGCCTGCCGTAGCCCAAAAGCTATCCGTGCCTGTCTGTTAAAGCCTGGAATGGCGTGGTGTCTTTCTACGATCCGCTGCAGTCCCTGATCCGCTTTTTTCGCACACGTCGTTTCAGGACGGCCGGCGAATCCGGATGCATCCCAAGTTTGCACGTAGCGGGAGGCCTCGCACCGGACGACCCTGAAGTATTTCGCGGTGAAGTCAAGGATCTCGACTACAACAGGATCAAGGATAAGGTTGCCATCTATTTACGGACACACGATTAACGTTTGGCCTTTTAGTTTTGTCGTGTGGGTGTTCCGGCGAATGGCGACTGTGTTCTGCCTCCGCTTTCCGGGTTTAAGTGAGTTAAAACCAAAACTTTTCTTTTTTCTTTCTTTAACCTAAGCGTTTGACTAAACTCTCGTTTACCTAAGATAAATAACTTTATAAAGGGGGCAACAGTTGTTTTCAAGCATTTTCGATTGCGTGTCCGCGAAACAACGGAATTTCCAGGCTGCCGAAGCGTCTTGAAGATGCTGGCTTCAAAGAGGCGATGGTAACCCCGTGCAGCTACAAACAGCGCGGCGAGAAGATTGAAAAGGATTGCGTGTTGCTGGACCTGATGATGGACGGAAAGGTGGTGATTGCCGATCGGAATGGGGTGGGTGCTTGTTTCCTTGAGTGTTTTACTAGGATCCGGTCCATTAAACGTTAGCTTTCCAGTATCTACCTGAAATCCCTCCATTTCAGCATGGCCCGTATGCGACGCTACAATCCCGAAACGACAGCCTGACGATGACCTGGAAGGTCGATAACAACTATCCGTACAGCTTCCCCCGTTGCATCGATCTGTCCAACCAAGTCGGCCTGCCGGTATCGGTCTCGGTTTTAGCCCGCACCGCGCTAACTTTTCAGGAAAATCACTTTGACACGGCCCTCAGCGACAGCTTTCTAAACTGCGCCAAGAACCCCTACTACGCGAGGGCGAAGGAGGGGCAGATCACCATCGACAGCGTCGAGCCGTTCAATTGCAACACCGACAAGGAGCTCCGCCGGGTACGTGATATGATAGACGTGGGCGCTGGGTAGCTACTTATTGCCGGCTTGGTACTAGGCCAAGCTCGCCGGAACCGCGAGAATCTAGGGGCGCAAGAACCTAGCGTAAGTTTTTGCATTTGCTCGCCAGGGTGTCCCAAAAAGTCAGCCTTCTCTAGCTGTCGAACAATCTCCGAACGGGGTAAAATCTAGATACAAAACAAAAAGGTTCTTTAGGATTCCCGGGGGAAACCAATTTTTTTCCTGGTGGTCCCGGTTGACCTAGTAATCAAATATAAAGTGTTTTCGATTTGTTTTTCGTAAGTTTTAACTATATTTAAAGCAGAATAACTTTCAGAAAAATTTAGAAAAATGTTTAAAAAAGTCGAAAATTTGGTCATTTTGGGTCTTTCCCCCCCGCGCGAATCCTAAAGGTTCTATAGGATTTTTCGACCTAATTTTTATATTTTTAATTTTTTTTTGGTTAAAATGTGTGTGGTTTTTAGGTACAATTCGGATAAGCGGGGGGGAAAATTTTAGGCGGGGGGGGGGAAACCAACTTTTTTTTGTCGGCCCTGGTGGGGATAGTAATCAAATATAAAGTTTTTTAAAATTGTTTTTAGCAAAATTTAAGCCTATTTGAATCGGAAAAACTTTTTTAAAAGGTTAGAAAAACGTTGGAAAAAGTCGAAAATTTGGTCATTTTTGGGCCGAAAAAATTATTTTTCGATATAAAATTAAATTTTTTAATTAAGTTTTATAAAGTTTTTATGTTTAGGAATAGCTATAAACAATTTAGAAACACTTCCACTATTTATATAAAAAATATAGGCTTGGGCGGAAAAAATTTCGGTTTCCCCCCCGCCTAAAATTTTCCCCCCCGCTTATCCGAATTGTACCGGTTTTTATACTCAGGAATAGTTAAAACAATTTAGAAACGCATCCGCAATTTATAAAAAAATCTAGGCTTGTGCCGAAAAAAATTTTATGAACGGCTTATGAACCTTTATGTCTTTTTTTTTTGGTAAACTTTTACCCGAATTTACCCAAGTCTCTCAAATCAGTTTCTTGTTTCAGCTCCTCTGCCGCACTACCAACCAAACATTGACATCCGCCGCCGAGGCGAGCACGAAGGCCGCTCGCTCTCGCATACTTGACTACGTCTCCTGGTTTGAGTGGTGGACTTGCGGTTGCTTCTTCCTCGGTGCCTTCGTAGCGCGTAGGTTACCCGCCCAAACCGAGCCCCAGGCCCCATGACGTCTGTGATGTCATCGATTTAGCGCTGCTTGGCTTCGCGTACATCGCATTTCGTTCGCGATCCATTCCGGTACCGGTGGTGGAGACACAGCCAAAATGGAAAATCCCCTCCAAGGAGTCCCTGGCGGCCATCGACAAATTTGTGAAAAACGCCTGTAAAACGGTATGGCATTGTTTTGTTGTTGCTGATTGGGTTTGTTGCCCGTAGCTTTTAGAAAGACCTGCTCGATGACTGTCTGCCACCCGGCATGCCTGACGAGGCTGAATGTCAAGTGTTTATGGAGCACAAGGATGAGAACCGGTGCCAGGTGAAAATTTGTTTTGTTTTGATTTGTTTTTTGATTTGCGTTAATTTCGCCGAGATGTCTCATGGTCACTAGTGACTGTCTGGTTAGAGTGCAGTTTACCCCCCCAGCCAGCACCCAACTTTTGTATCTCGGCCCCCTGTTCATCTACAGGTGTGTAAAGTATCCCAAAATGTTCGTCCTGCTCTGGCGAGTATTTTGGCATACTTTACACACCTGTAGATGAACAGGGATCCGATGTACGGTAGGTGGGGGTCGGCTGGGGGGGGGTAAACTGCACTTAAGCCGACGATCTTTTTTTGGGGCACCCTGTATTCTTTTTTTCTCCAGACTACCCGGCTGCTGGACAAATCCCGGTACAAAATTGAGGGCGACGATAAATTCTACATCAATGCCAGCAAATTCAGCATGAAAGGTACGTCAAGGTTTCAGCTGAAAGGCGCGTGTAGCTATGGCCCGCGTAAGCGTCGTGTCCAAAATTTTACGAATTAGGTGTCTAGCGAAAGCTCTCGACGAGCTGAGGAGATATGTTCTCTCCGATTTTTTTTAAATTCCCGAATTTTTAACCCGGTTTTATAGTTTTTTGGGCATAAATTACGCAATTTTCTGCAAAAGTTGATTTAATCGTTTTTAGTCCAGCCCAAGCTGTGTTTTCTCAAATGCGTTTCAGAAGGCCGGCCTTGGGCTGCCAGGAAAGATGTCAACATTTGGAAAACGACGTTTTTGTTAAAAACACTTGCATGGGAAAACGCATCGAAAATTCGGAGAATTTCGCAAAAACGTTAGCAAATACTGCCTTATATAATTTTGGGGTGTATCTCTGTGGGTTTGTGTGGATGTCACTATCGAGGCCCGATTTGAGGGCCTTCCCGTGCATAAAATGCCCTGATTCTCCGTCACCCGGGGGAATCGACCCTTCCGTTTCCGATGGCGTTCTCAGAATTTCGATAAAATACAAGTTTACAAAGTTAAGGCCGGTTTTATTCATTTTTGGGGTCCCGATGGCTAATTTGCATAATGTGAAAAATAGAAGTTTGCTCATTCTTGCAAGTTGCGCTCGCGTGTGTGGTCGGTTGGGGCGGGGGGTCCGAAGGACCCAAGCTATCGGAAATTCAAAATTATATATTATATAAATTTGGGAATTTCAAAAATCCGAGAGCAAATATCTCCTCAGCTCGCCGAGAGTTTTCGATTGATACCTAAATTGTAAAAATCGGTCGTGACTGCGCGCCGCTATGGTGGGTCTTTTTTTGGGACACCCTGTATTTTAAGAAGGCAATCGCGGTATTTGCTGGGAAATTCAGGCTGCAAGGCGAAATGGGTGATGACACAGGCACCTCTGCCCGGAACCCGCGAGGCTTTTTGGATCATGATCGAAGACCTGGTAAGGTTTACTTCCGGTGGTTGATCACATGGTACGCCTTTTCTAGATATGAAAAGTTTATACGAAAGTCACTAAAATTTGCGATAAATTTTGACGTTTAGGTCAAACATGTGCTCAAGAATTTTGAGCTGAAGAGCTCAAATTTTCAAGAGTTGAAGGGCGGCAACCTATCGCCGGTTTTTTGGCGAAAGCCTAAATTTTTTTTTATGATTAACGGATGCGTTTCGACATGTAGATTCGACTTTGCAAATGGAAATTGAACGTTTAATTTTCGGCAGAAATTTCGAGCCAAAATGGCCACATTTTGACTTTTCAAACACTTTTCAATTTTTTTGCAAGTTTTTCTGTTCTAAGTATTGTTAAAACTTTAGTTAATATCTTTCAAACGATTCCGTTCTTTTAGTTGAAGAACGCAATCGTCAGCATCATCTGCATGAATTCGTTCGAGCCGGTGCTCGAGGGAGACACTTGGTTCCCCGACCTTCGCAAGGCACACGCGACGCCTGTCGGGGATGGGGAATGTCGGCTCTGCAGGTTCGGCAAGATGTCGCCGACTGCTGTCAAGGTGGTTAATCAGGGATCGAATTTGTTGCCTAGTAGCAGAATAGTAATTAACAATGCCTAGTAACTTAATAGTAAGTATTTGAAACATGTTCCAGCGAAATTGAAAAGGAACCATTTTCAACTAACAAGGAGACGTTTTTGAGTGTCGTCAGGACTTTGGCACGGGACCAAGCCTATCTTGTGCAGAATTTGACGCTGATTCCGAATATGGTAACGGTTTTTGCGGAATAGCCATTTCTCGAAAGTTATGAACGATTTAAACCTCAAAACAGCCCAAAATCGACTACTTTCGATAGTCATAAAAGGCTTCGGAATAGGTTTTAGACAAAACTTGATAGTGCATCTTGTTCAGAAAAAAATTCTCTATAAAATGTACCATTTTTTCCAAAATAATTGAAAAATTGGAAAAATTTGATAAATTTCGATTTTACAAAAATTTTACAAAAATTTTCGAAATTCCAGAATTTTTGAGTTAAGTTGCTTATTTTGTAGAGAATTTTTTTCTGAACCAGATGTACTATCAAGTTTTGTCTAAAACCTATTCCGAAGCCTTTTATGACTATCGAAAGTAGTCGATTTTGGGCTGTTTTGAGGTTTAAATCGTTCATAACTTTCGAGAAATGGCTATTCCGCAAAAACGGTTACCATATTCGGAATCAGCGTAAAATTCTGCACAAGATAGGCTTGGTCCCGTGCCAAAGTCCTGACGATACTCAAAAACGTCTCCTTGTAAGCCGCGGTTAGCACCCCCGCAGCCCTAGCCGGGCCCCAAATTTTGTATCGCGGTTGCGCGTTGCGCTGGACGGCTGTAAACTATATCAAAACACTCGCCAGAGCAAGACAAGCATTTTGGGATAATACTTATTTAAAGGGCACGTTCAGGGACGTTTTTTTGGAAAAAAAGCAAAGGTTTTTGCCGCGGTCGTGGTCGAACCCGGGTCCCCCGCTCGGGAGGCGCGGATGGATACCAGTCAGCCACCGCTACAACCTGGCAGGGGGGCGAGGGGCGCCGCACGCCGCAAAGGAGGAGAATTGCATGTCACCGCATGGGCAGGCAGTGCGCGCGGTCCCTACGTCCATAGGGTGTAAACGTTGGGACGAGTACGCGGCCCCTCCCTGAACGTGCGCTTTCATAAAGCTTTATAAAGTTTGAACCAAAGGGGGGAAAAACGGCGTAAAATCCCTCTTTACTACGCCTTCTTTATGAGAGAAAAATTGGTTCATCACCCGATAAACTCCCCCACCATTCATGCAAATTGGTTTGTTCAATCCCGAACACAGGCACTTTTTCCTCCTATACTTGACTGTGCATGTTTTTGATCATTCACCCAGGTGGAGCGGGCCCCGACGTTGCGCAATATCCAAATCGCTAATCTGCGAAGCGAGGGGTACCCGACGACCGGCTGGGAAGAGCTGTTCAACGTCCTCCTCGTCCACAAGGCCCCCCTGACGAGAGATGCGGATATTAGGGCGGAGCAAGGTGGTGACTTCGCCCTATTTGATGAAGGGGTGGGGCCGGCATAAGAGCGTTAGGTTATCACTAGAGTGAGTAGTCGAACCGGCTCGAAACTTCGACCCGATTTGGTCGGAACTTTCGACCCTGGAAATTGGGTAATAAACCGATGACTTTCCGAGTGTCCCGGATTTGTTTCGGGGTGTTCCGGTTAAAGTTACGGCCCAGGTCGAAAGTTTCGACCACAAGCGCGTCAAAGTCTCGACCCGGGTCGACAGTTTAGCCGCCCACAATCGGTTCGCATAACCACTCTATTTATCACCAGCCTCGTGAGAAAGTTAACCAAAGCGGAGAAGGCGGAGCGGGTCTTTTTTGGGTGACCCCCCTGTCTGTCTAACTGAATGGCATTTGTAGTGGAGGGCCGTGATCGCTACGAAGGACATCATCTCCGGAACATCATCTTCTGCCGCGCTATCCTCCAGACAGTCCAATTTGCCTATTGGGTGGGTGCCTGCTGCCTTATTAGAATCGAAGAAATGGTAGAAGCCCTGGACTGTCGATCTGTCAAACCCCATTTGCAGGAAAACATTGACTACTACGTGTTGCAATCTGCAAACGGCACCGGAACTGCCGCCATCTTCGTCATGGTCTACGTCATCATCGAGCGGCTGCGGAACGGCATGGAAACCACGGTCCGTTTGACAGAAAACTCACAAGCCATGCGTTTCCGTTAGGTAGCTGAGGTGCTCGAGGAACTTCGCACCCACGTCCCGGCAGCAATCGCCACCGCCGAGCAGTACTTGGCCGTCTACGCATGCGTCCTCATGTATACCCAGGTATCCTTTGTTTTGTGTGGCGGACTTTTTTTAAACGTAGAATTCGTCCGATTGTCCGAAAACAGTCCGAATTAACCCCGTGCCGAATACTTGTATGTCAAATTGTTGATGTTTTTATTCTCGGGGACTCTGGCAGAACGATGCAAAGTAAAGGTGGTCGTGGGTATGGCCAGCGTAGCGTATAGGGTTGAAAAGCCGCGTAGCGGTTTTTCAACCCTGGTCAACGTTAAAACTGGCTCGATAACGGTTTTAGACGTTAAAGCACGATTTAATGCAAAAAAAATTCCGTGTTTTTGGGCAAAAAGCAAAAGGAATTGTGCAGGGCAGGGCTCGAACCGCCGCCCTGCGCTTGGCAATCGAACACCTTGCCAGTGCACCATGGTGCCAACTGGTCAGGGGGCTTCGGGAGGATAGATAAGGGACACGGCAATGCCTGGACCCAGGCCGGGAATAGTGGGCCAGCATCCGAATTTATGCCGTTTTTAAGCTTAATTTCGGCCTCAAATGACTTTTTAACGCAAAGGCCGTCCCCTAGCCCGATGATTGAAAATACCACCTGAAAGGACATTTGTTAGGCCCACCTGAAGACTCGATACGGCAAGGAGCTCCAGAGCGTGCTGGACAACATCCTTTCGAAGTATACCCTCTGAGGCCATCGGTTTCCAATGGTAAGTCTCTGACGGTAATGGAAACCGCTTCCGAATCTCCTTATTACAAATCTCCTTCCTCTCCTCTTTTCTTTGGAATCTCCGTTTACAAAATCAGCTGTTTTCGAAATTGTAAAAATCACTGGCACTCACTTTGTTAGGCAAAAATTAGCAACGATTGGAAGCTGCGGTAGCCTATATAAAGGGACAGCGGGAGCGTTTTGCTTTTTTTTCATCGCAGTGCGGGCGAATGATGCAGAGTGACGAATATCATAGAATCAAACAGGGCCAGGGTTGGAAAGTCGCGAAGCGGTTTTTCAATCCCGGTTGGGAATTAAAATAATAACCCAACCCGATCGCCTCAACGTCGTATTTTTAGGGAACATCGCTTCGGCCAACATCGTCTACGTTCTCGCGTCGATGATGCTGCGCCCGTCGCCGAGTTATGTCTGCGTCTCCTGTGACTGATCATGGGAATTGTGCTTTTCGATGTATATTGGTGTCATTTCTCGTGTTGCATTCAGTGAGGAATAAACGAGCAACGGAGACTGTGCCTTCTTACACATTGCGAGTACAGGGTAGTCCAAAAGTTCCTGGACTTACTGTTTCGCCCCAAAAACGACGTAGCGCTTTTTATCGCGTGAAATTTGGCAAATTTGCAAACAAACGGATCGGGAAGAAAAAGTCATAGGCCAGCTTCGTAGAACGGAGTCCCTTGAACAGGGCTCGGAAGTGAAAATTCGTGCGTGCGGGGATTGAACCTACCGGTCAAAACAAATAAGGGTCACTGTCGTACCAGAACCAGAACAGTGTTTTAATTGCGAAAAAAAACGTAAAATATTTGAGTGAACCCACAATGTTCTCGGGGCAAAAACGACATTTTGAGTACGCGGCGATTACATGTCGTAATGCTTGTAAAGCACCCAATCTCACATGGTTCAGAAAAGGGGGCCCCAAGGGTACACCATGGGCAATTTGTAAATAGCACGGGTACACCCGGTACACCCGGTACACCCGTTTGCGTAGCAGCCCATAGTGCGTGTGGGAGGGCAGCCACGCAAACATTTCTCTGTGTAGCAGCCCAGTTACCGCGTGGGTGGGCTGCTACGCAAACGGGTGTACCGGGTGCTATTTACTAATTGCCACAACATGCGGAGCGCAGACACAAGGGCAGGCGCCTTGGGGGCGGCCAATGGTGGTTGGGGCATGTTTTAGGCGACGACCGGCGGCTAGAAGAGGCTGTTGGCCGCCAGGCAGAGGCGCAGAGAACAGAGGGGCCTCTCCCATCCTGTCCCCATCGCACGAATCATCAACTATAATTCAACTATAATAATTCGCTAAAGGCGTCAGTCCGTCCGAAGCCGAATTCAACCCGAAGGGGAAAGGAGTTAGAGCTTAGGTCTCTTCGGATTCGGATAGAGCGCCTTCAGAAAGGCCCAAACTGATAAAAAAATAATGAAAAAGTTTTCGTTTAAATTATTAAAATTAACGTTATAAAATATCGGCTAAGATACGGCGGGCACCGTAACCCCTTTACGGATATTGGATACGGCGGGCAGCGTAACTTCGTATACGGAGCGTCCGGTAGGGGGCACACTGACACAGGTGCGCAAACACTATTTTTTATAGCCAGAAAACCCATGGGTAAAATATATATGCCATTACGTGCGCAATGGTTATAATCTTTTTACTTATACTTCAGCACAATGCACGGGACCATGACAGGTTAGCAACGACATTTGAGCAACTCGGCAAAAACGACAAGAGAGCAACTGCGACTTTTAAGCAAACAGGCCAAAACGACATTTGAGCAACTTTCGCTAGAAAAAAAGAGAAAAGCCATATAAAATAGCCGTTTTCATTGCTTTTTCTTTGTTTTAAAAATTTTTGGTGTTAACTAAAGTCTTCTAAAGCCTAAATTATACCCCGGGTAGGTCGGTTTTTGCAGGATATAAGTTTTTCCAGCTAATTAACCTTGCTTCTTCTAAATACACTACTTTATAAAACTTTTGTGCTTTGGTATATTGTTTTCTTGTCTAAATCATCGAGAAACAAGTTTTTAGTATCAGGAAAGTATAAATAAGGGCCAAACGTGATTTTTTTACTGGAAAAGCCCAACAAATCGCCAATAAAGTAGACGTTTTGATTAGATTTCTTTTTCCCAAGTCCATTTTATCAAACATGTGGATGCATCTGCGCGGAAATGCTACGGATAAACCACCAATAAAGCGAAAACCGGATAAAGCTATCTTTTGAGTGAACAAACACAAAACGGCGTTATCGAAGACTCACGGTCCGAAAACCGGCCTATCCGGGGTATAATTTAGGCTTTAGAAGACTTTAGTTAACACCAAAAATTTTTAAAACTAAGAAAAAGCAATGAAAACGGCTATTTTATATGCCTTTTCTCTTTTTTCTAGCGAAAGTTGCTCAAATGTCGTTTTGGCCTGTTTGCTTAAAAGTCGCAGTTGCTCTCTTGTCGTTTTTGCCGAGTTGCTCAAATGTCGTTGCTAACCTGTCATGGTCCCCAATGCACGGCCAAACAGACCAAAAACGGCCATTTGCCGGGAGGGGCAAAAGCGTCAATTGGAGCCGGGTGTAGCGCGCGTCAAAAGGTTTAAACTCTTATAACCTTTCCAAAGCGGCTTAATATGGCAAAGCCAATATTAATTATTGCAGAGTAAAATTTTACGGTTCGAATGATACCAAAGAAAGCAGGTTAGTCCTCCGAAATACCACTTTTCACAAAGTCGCCCACCAAAACCGCCTTCGTTAGCATACTTTCTAAATTCAGTTTTGTTAGTGCTTGGTATCATTAAAATCGCCATGTTCCCTTCTACAACTGGAATTCGCGTTTTTTAAGATCGGCCATATCTTTCCAGATATAAGCCTCCAAAGTTTTAGCCCCATACATTTTTGAGTCGATAGGAGCGCCGCGTTGCCTAGCCCTTGGACCGCCAGGATTTCGGGGCGTGAATGGGTATAGACCGAAATAACGCCCGTTGGCGCCTCCGAGGAGACGTTCCGCGTCATCTGACGGCCGCCGCCCTATTTTCGTGTTCCTTGTTCCGAAGAGGTAGTTTGCGCATTTGGGGGGAAATTTATTGCCACAAACCGCATACAGAGAAGAATAAAGGGGTGATGAACGGCATACGTGAATGTACGATACAAACAAAAAAAAAGCAAAGGGGTGGGGATGATTCGCAATGTCGGGAGGTGGAAATTTTTTTTCTAGGAGCGATTTTGTACATAGCCGGAGAAACTGTTTCTTGCCACTCTTTTCGTTAATGTTCCAAAAAAGAACAAAAAAAATCGAGTTTCCGGCCAGAAATTTGGCATTTTTGCCTTTATACGAAACGGTGCGGTCTGCTATGAGTAAACTTCCCCCCGACATCGCGAACCTATGAGCAATCGAAATTCGGAACAGCGGTGGGCGGAGAGAGTAGTTGGGGAAAACATTCAACGGGTCAGTTAGCCGGGTATATGATCAGTCTAGCGGCTATTTGGCATCCGGCTTCGAGGTGGAGTCGGTGGTGGGGCTGGCGGCTGCGGTATCGGCGGTGGTGTTGGGCAGCTGGTCGAGGCTTTCAGTTTCGGGTATCTCGGGTGCCCCGGCTCCCGAGGCTTCGGCCGCTTCGATGTCCAGCCCCTTCGCGCCGCCAACGCAAGACAGCGCCATCAGACGGCGATCGACGCGGCGGATCAAGCTGTTGTACTTCACCATTTGCACGTCGTGTGCGGGTGACTGCAAAAGTTGGTTTTGTGATAGACAGGGTATCCTAATAAGAAACACCACCTCTAACTCAACAGCGAAGCGACGGATCGGAACGATAGTTACACCATTCGAAAGCCTACTAGGTAACGGCGAGTTTGCCCCAACCTTCAAAACCCTGTTTTTCTACAAACCTGCTATTTTACGAGCCAGTTTGTAAAATTTTGCGGCCTTCGGGGTTGCATTCCAGCTAATTTGCATCAATTTCTCCCAGTAAAATAGCCGAAAATTACCGTTAACTGGATGCGGCGTCCGCGCCTTAATGTGCTTAAATTGATTGTAAAATGATGCGTATAAATAGTAACTTGGTTTTGAAGATTGTTGCCAGTTTGCCGTTTTAAGGGCTTTCAAATGGTGTAACTATCATTACGATCCGATGCTTTTGCGTCGAGTTAGCGGGGGGTGTTTTATTATTGGGACACCCTGTATAAGGGCCCCAGGAAAAGCAGTTGGTTGCTGCTGTTTCGACGGTTACGGACTGATTTTTAGCATGGGAAACTAATTTTTGGCGTTAACCCTGTACGGACGTATAACAAAGTATCAGGGGCGTTGCTGACCTCAAGTTTCGGGGGGGCAGCTTGCCCCCACTGCCCCCTGCAAAGTATCTACGAGTTCTTATAGTCCTTTACACCGTTTTTCGAGATAAAATGTTCATAAAATTAAATTGTTCGATATTTTGGATGGATTAAAAACCAACGAATGGGTTCATCCAGCCGTGTTTCCAGCCAACGTCGGGAGCGTAGGCGGCACCTTCGTGGAATTTTCCGAACGTCTTTCGTTGTTCAGCCTCGGCCAACCTGGGATTGAGACGTTTCGTCGGAAAGCTATTTCGCTCCCCCCTCAAACCCGTTGATCGCTAAGAGCCAAAGAAATGGTCCAAGGATTATCGATACAACACGCGGGTGAATTTGAAGCCCGCGTGAATGTCGTTTTTTTTATCCCTGGTTTAAAAGGGAAGGGCCCGCGCATGGATTCGGAATTCGAACATACGTTGCACAATCTCTGCACCTCCGTTGTAGGGCTTTAAATCAAAACCAACCGTGCCTCCTTGAACTTTTTGTACTTGAGGATGAGAAGGAACAGCGTGATGGCCCCGACTAAAATGGAGCGTGGTATTATGCAAGCAGGGCCCGTACCAGATTTCAAAATTTTACTAGGGTAGTAACCGTTTTTTACTACCCCGATTAAAATTGTTACTACCCTGGTTAAAAAAGTTACTACCGGCTAAAATTTTGTTACTAGGGGTCCTAAAAAAGTTACCACCCCGCGGAAAAGTACCGATTTTTAGTCGAAATCAAGCTAATTGCTCCGGAATAAACTAGTGAAGCATCACTACGGCCAGTAAAAAAGTACCCGAACCAGCCAGGTACACGAACCGGCAATTTTAGCTGACGGTGTGGTTAGTGAAACTCCAAATCTATAAAAAACTTCCTAAGAAAGGATAAGCAGTTCTAAGCAGTGCCATCGGCTTCATGGCCATCAAAGCTTTTTCCCTTGGTGTTATATATGATGAAGAACCTTGGTGTTATATACGAAATCCAATCGGGTCTTGAGTCTCACCCTGACAAAAAAATATTTGGCGGTATTAGTCTCAAATTATTGACCCTGGCCTCTTTCACAAGCACCATAAAGTTGCCGTAGGAATAACCACTACCAAGATAATAAGTTCCGGCCCTGAGTTAAATGCCGAAATATGCAAAAAAAGTAAATCGGAACAGTTTTACGAACTGGGTAACGCGATTTTTCATGATTGGAAAAAATAAAAAATCTGGCGGATCAGCCCTGCAATTCCATCGCTAGGGTTAGATAGAGCATTTTGGTACCGCGACACGCGCTCCGCGGACGCTTGCGCCGCTAAAACAGTTTCGTCTCACCGGTTTTCTAAGATTCGATAAGATTTCCACTCACCAAGTATATTAGTACATCTTTGAACTGAGCGAGAAAACAGTCAAAAAATTGAGAATTATAATTTTTACGAAGCCGTTGGGACGGACATTTTGCTTTACCAGTACTGAAAATGTTACCACCCTAGTAAAAAAAGTTACATGAAAAAACATTGGTGTATCTTTTTTTACTAGGGTAGTAACTATGTTTATTAGACATTTAATCATGAAAATAAATAGTATGTGACTTTTTATTGACAGAGACCAGTAGACCGATGGCCTATCTTTCATACGAAATCATGTTTAGACCGCTTGGTGCCCATTGACCGGAATTACATCGTTTTCTACAAAACGGGTTACTACCCCCTAGTAACAAAAAGTGGCACACCACCCCAGAGAAATTTTTTTACTCCGGGGTAACTTTTTTTTACCCGGGTGTAACTTTTTTGATCCCCCTAGTAAAAAATTATATCGGGGTAGTAACTTATTTAGCCGGGGTAGTAAACTTTTTGTCGGCGTTCCCTGTCGAGCCTTGTCGGTATTTTTCGTATCTGTCTTTGCAAAAACACTGGTTTGCCTCTCAACAACGATGTGACACCGGCCCCGAACTTTTTTTTTGCGCCTGAGACCTGTTAAATTGATTTTAAAATTGCGCTAAAACGTCCCGCTCGGGGTCCGTAATCCGGGTCACGGGCCACTTATCGGGGTAGTAAGAAATTATACTACCCTAGTAACTTTTTACTACCCTGGGCCGGGGTAGTAAACGAAATTTGGTACCAGCCCAGCATATCTGTCAGACTTGCGAAACTATCGATCGGACTCCCTGATAGGAAAAATTTATTTTTCTGATGGGCCTCCAAATCAAGCTTCAAAACATGGAAGTGCACAAGCCCAACAATCTTTGCTGGTGACGTTGGCCGAAAATTGCTTACCTACAAATGTGACAATTGCCGCGATATTTGCGAAGTGAACCGGCCCGAGGCCTTCGGCATTTCTGCCGAGTGCAGTCATGATCCTTGTGTCTGTCGTGTCGAAGTCGGGCTCGACGCAGAAGCCCTGCACAAATGTCCCTCTATGTAATACAAATAGTCAGGGCCATACCACATCCGCATCCTCAGCCTTGGCGCAGTCGGTGGGCACGATTTGATACCTGTACTTGTGGTCGACGGAGGCGGCCTTGTAATAGGGATTGGTGGCGCAGTTCAGAAACATGTTGTCCCGAATCAACCCAAGTTGATGCTCCTAAGAGATGAGATGTGATCCTCGTTATACGACGAGCGTCGTACCGCCAGGCCAACCGTTGCTTGGACGCACTTCTTCGGGTAGGCCGACCCGTTGGTTCCCTTCCAGTTCAGATCTGCGGTGTCCTTTTCCGAGAGGAACGACGCGTACGGTGGTGACTGAAAATAAATGATACCAGCCGATTACAGCCGCTTCGCGACTGTCATCGGCTGGACTTCGGGCTACCCTCCATATTCTACACCACCACATTTCATCCCTACCTTACGCTGATGCCTTCATGGCAATACCTACACTGATGGCTTCAGATACCTCCTCTAGCCACCCCCCACAAAAACATAGCTACCTTCCCGATGGCTTCAGATACCCCTCCGAGCCGAAATTCCCTTAAAAAAACTACTTCGATACCTCTGATGGCTTCAGATACCCCCATAGCCGAAATCCCCTTAAAAAACTACCTAAATACCTTCCTGATGGCTTCAGATACCCCCCATAGCCGAAATCCCCTTAAAAAACTACCTAAATACCTTCCTGATGGCTTCAGATACCTCCCCTAGGCGGAATCCCTTAAAAAACAAAAAATAACGACCGACCGGATGAAATGAGAGAAAAAGGAAATGGAATGGCTCCCGTGAAAATTTTTATCCACGAAACGCGCGCGACCTGGCTCACTATGTCCAAAATCACCCCAACCTCCGTCCCCCACCCCTTTTACAAAGGAAAAACTTTCAAAGTTAATTTTAATAATTTAAACTAAAAGTTTTTCTTAATTTTTTGATCAGTTTGGGGGTTTCTGACCACGCTCGATCCGAATTCGAAGAGACCTAAGCTCTAGCTCCTTTACCCTTCGAGTTGAATTCGGCTTCAGACACACAGACGGACGTCTCTACTTTTTTATTATAGTTGATTCCGTCCAAAACGGTTCCCACCTGTGATCGGAAACCCTTGACAAACATCCCGTTCTCCCGAACGTCCAGTGGGATGCAAGCCTTCTCGGCAAAGTGATGGTCCGTATAACGGCACCAATCCACAAACTTTGTGGGGTCGGGGGCAGGCAGGAATGTGTCCTTATCCTCAAAGTCATCCGCGATGAAGTACCTGAAATAGTTGGCATAGACTAGCGCTGCAAATCGATTCCCCTACTTGTGGCCTTTGAGTGGTGGTGGAAGGCAGTCTTCCATTCCCAGCTGTTGCGGCGTGCACCACTGAAGAAAATATTGGTAAAAATGCAGTTAATACGCTGCCGGCCCCAATTGATACCTCGGCTTCCGGTCAGCCCACGGCTGAGTAATGTATAGCAAAATCGGTTCTTTCGCATTATCGGCGGGGTGGGGGGGGGGAGGGAGAACCAGTTATTTCCTTAGGATCTAACTTGTTTAAAGGGATAAGGAGGGCCCACGTAGATGGGGGTCCATCTATAATTGGCAGGTAGCCAACTGGGTCAGAGAGGGCGAGAGAGGGCGCCCAGGGGAGAGAACGCAGAGACCCCCTTTCCCCGCGTCACCGGTTTTTGGCTGATCTGCGTGGGCTTGGTACAATTCAAATAGGCGTGGGGGGGAAGATTTCTTTTTTTTTGTCGGCCCTGGTGGGGATAGTAATCAAATATAAAGTGTTTTCACATTGTTTTTAGCAAAATTTAAGCCTATCTGAATTGGAAAAACTTTTTAAAAAAGTTAGAAAAACGCTTGAAAAAGTCGAAAATTTGGTCATTTTTGGGCCCAAAAAATGATTTTTCGACCTAAAATTAAATTTTTTAATTAAGTTTTGTAAAGATTTTATGTTTAGGAATAGCTATAAACAATTTAGAAACACTTCCACTATTTATATAGA